CTGCACTAACATGCTCACTCTCCTTGTCAGTCTCTTGATTCTTCGGCAGTTAAAACACTCTCTTTTATTTCTGTATCAGAGACTCTGTGTGCCTTGCTAACCTCTCTGTCGACTTCAGTCACCTTTTCTCACTTTCATGAAGTTTGTTGATTGATTGCTTCTCACAGGGTATGGCTGGCTTTCCAGCCTTTTGTCTAAATTTAAAACACTGGAGCCATCCTTCAGAAAGTACACAGCGCTCAATCAATTGCATTTGCTCATAAAATATCTTTTGTTTTTTGGAACAAAAGTCTCTTGATTCTGACTCCTTATTTCCATTCCCATTGCTTCTGCCTGAGTCCAGGTCCTCTTCATCTTGTCTGGAATATGTCAATTAGCTCTTAACTAGTTGGCATGTTCTCAGACTCCCTACCAGCAGTCCATTTCCCACTTTACTGGTAAATTTTAAAAACTGGGTTCTGAAAAACAGATTTATGTGTTCATTCATCAAACATTTATTAAACAACTCCTTTGTGTCAGGCATCATGCTAGGAACTGGGAACACAAAGACATATTTTCCCTATGCAGGCACTGTGAGCTTTAAGTCTAGTCCAGGGGGTCAATGAGTATACGAAAACATGATTTATAGTCCATGAGGGTAGGCCCAGTATGCCATGGCAGAAACCAGCAGGGGGGACAGTTTCTCAGTCTTTGCCACTTGATTAAATTGGAGAGAGGCAGAGGGACGTGTTTTAACACGCCCTCTCCACGGGCAAAGGCTGGACAAGTGACGCATCACATGTGTGATCAGTAAGGCTGAACAGATAGTCGAGAGGAGCTGTGAACAACAGCATGAGGCAGTGAAGGGCCTAATGCTCAGTTGCTCGGTCGTGTCCGACTCTTTGCGACCTCATGGACCATAGCCCACCAGGCTCCTCTGTCCAAGGAATTTTCCAGGCAAGAATACTGGAGTGGGTTGCCATTTCCTCCGCGAGGGGATCTTCCTGACTCAGGGATCAAACCAGAGTCGCTTTCATCGCCTGCACTGGCAGGTGGACACTTTACCACTAGCACCACCTGCAAAGGAGTTTAGACTTTATTCTAAAGGGCCTAGGTTTTAAGGAGAGTAGTCGTATGATCAGATTTGTATATTATAAAGAGCATCATGGTAAGAGTTTCAGTAGTTCAGTTGCTCACCTGTGTCCAACTCTTTGTGATGGCATGGACTGCAGCACGCCAGGCTTCCCTGTCCATCACCAACTCCTGGAGCTTGCTCAAACTCATGCCCATAGAGTTGGTGATGCCATCCAACCATCTCATCCTCTGTCATCCCCTTTACCTCCTGCCTTAAATCTATAATAACACACACACACACATATATATAGACTTTATACACACTATACTATATACTTTATAACACATATATATACTTTATACACACTATACTATATATAACACACACATATATACTTTATGCATATGCAGACATATAGAACTTAGCAAAGTGTGTGCTCCATAAATATCATTATATGTCATTGTATCAATGTTATATATTAGTGTATCATATACTGTTTCATATATTCTAATCTTCACTTTCCTGTCTTCATTTTCAGAGATTTAGCTGTCTTTTCTTTCTTCTATTTGCTCTTATCCTTCCTGCCCCTACTCTTACCCTATTTTATCTCCAACTTTTTGGCTCCCATCCCTTTCAAAATTGATTTAATAACCTCAAGAACTCTACACTACAATTAAGGCAGTTGCTGCTCCCTATCTTTCTCGTTTTGAGGCGCCCTATCAATCTTTACAACTTTTTTAGGACTTCAATTTCTGCTCTGAAAAAGTGTTTTCTCCACACTTATTAGTTTTCCAGTTATTTGCAATATTGGTGCAAATAACTAGGGCTTATGTACCTAGTTCAGAAACACAATCCAGGTATGTACTTGTGCTGAAAGAATAATAACACTGTTTGTAGAAGAAATGCCCTATATTTTATTTTATAAGGACTCCCAGCAAAAATTGTTAGTAGAGCTTTAAAAAACAAAAGGGCCCTGGTATAAGGAGCATATAAAAGCTCAATTCACCTACTCCTTTTTCCACTCTGAGAAACATCTCCTTCCAAAAAATTCCCAACTAGATGGGAATGTTCCTGACCCCACAGCATGATTTTGGAAAAAAAAAAAAAAAAAAAACCCACAGGTTTTGAAGTCTGATAACTCATGACACTTATGCTTTCCATTATTTCTTAGCTTTTCTCATCGTGTCTCCTGGTTTGTAAATTTTCTCGCCTCTCCATGGTTTCCTCTTCCGGGAAGCCTTTCCCAAACCCACATCCATGTTCATTTCCCTTTCATATATTTTGTACATTTTCTCTGAGGCAACTCTCAAGAGTTTCCGCTTTTCATTTAAGTAATTATTTATGATCGTCCGCCCCTTATAATGGACTGTAGCTCCACCGGGCTAGAGACCACAAGCGCTGACTGAACCTCTGTATTTCCAGGCTAAACTCAGCACTGTACACCCAGTCTAGCCGAGTGCCTGGCATGCCAGAAGCAGTCAGCCAACAAAGGGATGACAAAAGGGAAGCAGCCAGAGGCACCAGCCCTCCCTGGCGCAGAGAGGAGCCGCCCAGGCCCTCAGTTCCCTCCTTCCCCTCCCAGGCGCTGGGATCAGGACCCGAACCCCAGCCCAGCACTGTCCCCGGCCCTGCGCTGTCAACTTAAGCCCCTCCTTGGGGAAGTGCCTCTCCCGGAGACGCCGCTCAGAGGCGGGACTTCCGGCCGCCGAAGTTTAACAGTTCAGGCGGGAGCCGGAAGCCCAGCGCCGGAGCGGGCCGCGCTGAGGCCCCCGGTGTACGGCGGCTGAGAGGTGAGGTTCCGGAGGTCCCGGGTAGGGCCCGCCGCCTGCCGCGTACTTGCCCTCTCCTAGTTCCCCACCCGTCCTCCGATCACCTCAGGGGGCAGGTCGGAGGTCCCTGGGCTCCCCGCGACCTAGCGGGTCGGACAGGGGCGCGGCGGCCGGGTTGGCGCTGAAGTGCCCGCGAGCCGCGGGCCGGGGTCGCGTACCTCCGCCTGTGGCGGCCTCCGGTCAGGCCTGAGGGGTGTCCCGGGTCGACTGGGGCAGGTCGGCGGCGGCTCCGGGGGTCTGCACTGACTCCGGAAAGTTTGACGCTTGCCCGCAGTCCCGTTACCTTTTTGTAAACCTCTCAAATTCGACTCGTTTAGCAGGCGCTCAAATGCCTTTAACAAGGAAACTCCAGTTGAGCAAGACTCCTGCGAGTAAAATGCATTATGGGTGAAAGAAAGTTGGAGAGCTTTTCCTTAAGCTGAGTTGTAGTGAGTTGTTTCTTGTAGCCGCGAGGCTGATGGTGTTACGGCCGTGTGTCCTGACAGCTCACTTTGATGGGAGCCTCTTTCTGAGTGTGCTCAGTCCTCAGAACACTGGGTGATGGGCCTTTCCCCGCTCTACTTTGAGAGGAGCAAACTGACCGTCACCTAACTCTGGGGCAGGTCATCTGAGCCGGGACCAAAGTGATCTTTCCGCTACATCACACCAATCAACAGGTGTGGTCTAAGATTACAGTAAAGACATCTTTCAGTGTTGTTTCCTGGGTTTACAGATGCTTTTCCAGCGTTTCATTGTTTTTGAGTAGGAATCCAAAGGGCACAAGTTATAACATGTTAAGGCACCAAATTCGAACACTGTGTCTACATTTCAGCAGATGACTAAGGGCTCTTAGTAGAACTGTGTTTATCTGCTGAATGAAGCAGAGTGAATCACATAAGTGACTTTTCTAGATAACGAAATTTCAGCCTCATAAACACATTAAAAATTTTGCCTCTTGAGAGTTGAAAGGGCCCTGTATTTTATGTCTTTAAGTTGTCCTCCGAAATATACTCACAAACGTGATGTTTTGTTGATGACTGGGAACCTCTCTGTGACATGACTTAATGCTCTGTCATACTCTTGACACTGTCTGCACCAGGAAGATGTGAAAGTATATTTTTACACCCTTCCGTCCCCTTCCCCTATCTCCCAGGCTGTTTTTGACCATTTTTTTTCTTACCCATCATGCATTACTATGTGTGTTTTGTCTTCTAGACTGCCTTGGTTTGTGAAATCACTTTGTAGGAATTATGCATTCGAACTGTGTACTGTGAATAGATAATACAAGCGAAGGCATTGTGGATCAGGTGTTGGTATAGGGACTTAGTGACATTTTCTCAGGTTGTATTTGCTAATTTTAGAGTTATTTGGAAGACCTGCAGTGGTGGGATTCTAACCTGCAGGAGTGCTACAGTTTATCATTTTGTTTTTTTTAAAGATGAGGAAGTTACCTATCCAACAGTTATTTGTTGAATACCAGCTGTGTGCCAGGAATGTTTGAAGACCAGTAATTAACAAGACAAGACAAAAATTCCTGTCCTTTAGATCTTTGTTTTGCTCAAGTCAAGGGCCACAGATGTTATGAGAATAAGAATTGCAGATAGCAGGAAGGGCCATGAAAGAATGGAACAGGAGAATGGGATATAGAACAATGGGTATGGAGTTGCTTTAGCCATGGTGGTTAGGGAAGGCCTATCTGAGGAAGAAACAGGAGCTGAGACTGGGATGATGTGAAGGAGATGACCACGGGAAACTGGGAAAGGTTGTTCCTGGCAGACCAGGTAACACTTGGGGGTGAGAAAGAAGGCCAGTGTGTTTGGCGACCCCAGGGAAGAAAGGAAAGTTACATCAGTTTATGAAACACTCTGCACTAAGGAGGCTGCACTTCATTTTAATTGCCGTGGAGAGCCACTGGGAAGGTCAACTAAGACTGTGATCTGGTTTATGTTTCAGGAAGATCAGCTTTTTTTTTTAGTAACTCAGCTTTGTGGTGAACGCAGTCTCTGGGACACGAGTGAATGTGTGGAGCCACTTGTTTTGGATAAGATGCCTCATTTTAACTCTTTTTGTTTGTTTGTTTTAAACCTGTTCTTAATTGTTTTTAAAGCATGTTGTTTTAAACAATTGTAGGTGCAGTCATGCAGGAGAACCTCAGATTTGCCTCATCGGGAGATGACGTTAAAATATGGGACGCTCCATCGATGACGCTGGTGGATAAGTTCAGCCCGCACGCTGCGCCTCATGTTATTAGCTCAGTGTGTTGGAGCAGCAATAGTATCCTTTTAAAAATAAAATAGCCACTATGTTAAACATCCAGTAGCAATGAAACTTCTGTGTGTGATCCATAATGAGAAATGTGTTTGGCATAGCTGTGAAAGATAAAGTGAAATAGGAATTTAATAAACAGTATGTCATATGATAGGGGCTTTCCAGGTGGCTCAGTATTAAAGAATCCACCTGCCAAGCAGGAAATGTGAGTTCAGTGCCTGGATCAGGAAGATCCATTGGAGAAGGAAATGGCAACCCACTCCAGTATTCTTGCTTGGGAAATCCCATGGACAGAGGAGCCAGGCAGGCTATAGTCCATGGGGTTACAAAGATTCGGACATGACTTAGCGACTAAGCAATGACACATCATATGATTGAAAACTGATATTCTCCATTGATTTCATTAAAAAAATTTATTTGCAACCCACTACATTGTAAAGCACTGCTATTAAAAATATATGTTAGCTACTAGATGCTGACTATAGAGTTTTGTTATCAACAGTTCGTTATTGAATTAAATGGAATAAGGTAGGTAATGGTGGAAATCCTGAAAGTTCTGGAATGATGTTTTGCATCTACATTTGCTTATTTGTGGATCTAGTTGGGAAATTAAAGACAGAACTTGAAGACAAAAGCAAAACTTGAGGGAGGAGATAAAAATTGTAGAACATTTCCATGTTACTGATGTATTTTCTGTATTTCTCTTCCATTCTATCTGTGTTGAAAATAGTCTTGTTTCCCAAGAAGACAAATTACCTTGATTGAATTTTCCTAAGGTTTTTATGTTTCTGATTCCCACCCTTCCTTTCTTAGTAAATTTCTGTGTACTAGGTTGCTTCAATTTTGTCCACTCTTTGCGACCCTACGGACTGTAGCCCACCAGGCTGCTCTGTCCATGGGATTCTTCAGGCAAGAATACTGGTGTGGGTTGCTATGCCCTCCTCCAGGGAACCTTCCCAACCACGGGGTTGAACCGCATCTCTTAAGTCTCTGGCATTGGCAGGCAGTTTCTTTACCACTAGCGCCGCTTGGGAAGCCCAAATTTGTTTATTTGGCTTCTTTGAGTCTTAGTTGAGTCATGTGTGATCTTCTATTGTGGTGTGCAGGCTCTGTGCAGGCTCTTTATTTGTGGCGCTCCCCAGTGGCATGTAGGATCTTAGTTCCCTGACCAGGAATCAAACCCATGTCCCTTCCGTTGCCAGGGAGACCCTTAACCACTGGACTACCAGGGAGTTCCTGGTGGATAAATGAACTCATAAATAGGGATTTCTCACTGTCTCACTACTAACATTTTGGGCCAGATACTGTTTTGTCATGGAGGCTGCCCTGTGCATTGTAGCATGGTTAAAAGCCTTCTTGACTTCTACCAGTGAGACACCAGTAGCCCCAGTGGTGACAGCTGTGGAGCATCTCCAGAATTGCCACATGTCAATTTTGTGAGGGGCCAGAATCATCCTCAGTTGGGAACCATTGCTGGAAACAAAGTACTGTTACCACCTTTTGTATGAAAATGTTCTGTATTCTTGGTGTGGTAGAGATAATCATTCTTTTGTGGAACTCATACACTGTTTCTTAAACAACAGATTAAGCTTGAACATGTGTCTGATCTTATCAGTATCAAAGTAGTAATATTCTGCTTCCTGATGAAAGTAAAAATATCAAAGCTTTAAAATATGAATGATTCATGAACAAAAACATTAGAAAGTTTTCATGCCCAGTCTAATTATTCTTGTAAATATATAACAAAAATGACAAGTTTTCTTACTGAATTAAACTTTCCTCTTCATCATTCCTTGTTTTGTATTAAAGTAGCAAAGTAAGTTACTTTGGCTCCCTGTTGATCAAACTCATGTGAGGGGAATGCATTTTTGAAGGCCTCTGCAGATTTGAGTTGGGGGAAATGTTTAAAGAGAGTGACAAATATGTGATGTTGCTTCTATTATTAGATTTTTGTTATGTTTAGAGCTGATTTTCCCTGTTACTTACTGCATAAAAGTACCAATTCTTAGTGATTATTTTTTATTCCAAGGAGTTTTATTAGGAGTTGGCATTTACTGATAAACCACTTAAAGGTCTAGCAACAAAACTGATGTGAAGACTATGTGATGGTGTCCTTTGGGTTTTGGAAACTGGTTTTATTTCTGTAGTTTTCTTGTATAAGTACATGTGCACTGGAAACCTTTGTATAGTTTTATTCCTATTGAGGCTTTGATGCCTTCCATAGAGGTTAGTTACTGAAGACCAGGGGATTCCTAGACTCAGGTATTTGGGGAGCGCTTAGTGTGGATTCCAAGGACAGAGTTAATGGTGAGATGCCATGAAGATCAGTTTTCTTTTTTTTTCTTTAATCAGTTAATTATTTTTTTGGCCCTCCAGGTAATACTCCTCACTTTCTTAATACTTCTAGAACTATATGAGAAATAAATGGAGTAACTTGAGTTCACTTTTGTAGTATCTTCCTTCAGTCCTTTCTTTAATATACTCTATAGAGAAGAGTAACAGTAAACATAGGAAGAAGCCAAGGAAAGGGAAAATGATTTATTTTTCTCAGTACTGTAAAATCTAGATAGGTGGAAGTGATTTTGTTTGAATCATATATCATGATAAAATTACAGTCCATGTCTGTTCACAAAATAGCTAAATGTTCTACAAATCACTTAAAGTAATGCAGTTTGGACTTTGCTTGTTAAGTGTATATTTAAACTTCTGATATTTTGTTTTGACTCTCAAAATCAGGCTCTTGTTCTTGGTTGTATTATTGTGGTTAGTCATGTAAGTTTTAAAATACTTACATTATTTTGTGTTTACTGATTATTTCACTTATTTATGTGAAATAAGGTAAATTTAATTTTAAATTATTAAAGCAAATTTTAAATATTTATTATTTTAATAATTTAAAATTGTATTTTAAATAATTTAAATTTAATTGAGCCAAAATAAAGTTAAAATAAAACTCATAGTTGCTTTGTAATTGCACTTACTTACATTTGCTACATACACTATAACTTACATTTGCTACATATACTATAATATTCTTAATATATTTAAAATTGAAATGCTCTATCACAAACATTCCAGTCCATTCCATTCCAGAAAATATCAGGCTTTATTTTTTAGTGGAAAAATAGGAAACTAATGTGGATATTTGCTTCCTAGCTTAAATCTTTATCAAGCACTGCATTATTAAATAATTATCTTAAACCATGTTTATAGAAGAAAAGGCTGATTGGTATTTGCTTGATGTTGCTTTTATCATGCTCTCATTCTTGAAGGATAAAATTAGACCTTCTGGCCTACTCTTTGAAAATGGGGTAGTATTTCACACGGGTTAAGTAGCTTTCGAGTGATAGCAAAGTCAAAAAGGATAGTTCTTCCCTGAAGTAGTAAAGAGAATTAGTCTTAGTAATTAGTAATCTGAGCCAGTTTTGAAAGCTAATGTATCAGCTATATTCATTGTTTGTCATCTTTTTAGTGTGCTTGCTTTTATCGTCACATTTCTCATAGCCGAGTGCTAGAGCTGCTCTTGGATTGTTTGATGCTCCATAACTCTTGATTTAGATAACTTTCTAGTGACAGCATCTTCCAGTGGTGACAAAATAGTTGTCTCAAGTTGCAAATGTAAACCTGTCCCACTTTTAGAGCTTGGTGAAGGGGTAAGTGATTTTTTTTTTTAACTTTTAAAAATCTTAGTCCTGCTTACGTGGTAATTGTTTATTTATTATGATGCTAACAACTAAATATAAAGGAGTTTAAAAGCATTATTCTTAACCTGAGCTTAAAATAATACAGTTAACACTTGAAGGTGAGATAAGTGTGCTTACTGATACATCTTTAGGTAAAATAATATTGGATCCTAGGGGAGCAATCAAGGACTTAGATTTCGTCAGCTAGGTAGCGTCTCCATTTTCCCTCTGTTGGAGGTTTCCTGGTATTGCTGTGACTTTTTAGGACTATGTTCCACCAAGGTTCCTAGGTTGATTTGACCACAAGAGTCCTAATGATGTAGCCCTTCCCTTATTAACAATGGGCTCAGCACCATTAGCTAAAGACCCTTATCTGATGGTGACCTTCTGCTTTAGCTTCGGTCCAGTGGGTACTGCCTAATCCTCTCCAAGCCCTTCTGTAACAGAATGGGCTTTGTCAAAATGAACTTTGGTCCCAGAGCATTTAAATGAATTTCTCACTATATATTCTTACCCTTTTGTTTCATAAGTTAATCCCTCTGATTCAGGATAATACTGGCTTTTTCATTTCCAATCATACACTTCTTGAAATTTGTTTCCATTTTAAATAAGATCTAAATAAAAAGGAATATATAGGTGGTGGTTCTTTTTTTAAATTTCAAAGTTTTATAGTGGACTCTAAACCATAATGAATTGTCATGATTTTATACACTGGAGTAGATAGGGTGACCCAATTAGTAATTGCTCTACTCCAGTTGCTTTGGAGTGGAACACAGCAGGACCACACAATATAAGTTCATCTAACATATTAATAAAAATGACTTAGAATTTCTAGCAGTCCTTTCCTAAAGGTGTCTGGTAGGATTGACCTCAGCATCAGTTCCAGCCCACAGGTGATGGAGACTGGGACAGATAGAATGTGTGTTAAGGGTAGGCAGTTGCCTTTCAGCCTCAGTAAGTGGAGTTGAGGCATGTGGGACCTAGTTCCCGGACCAGGGATTGAATCTGCATCCCCAGAGTGCCACTGGGGAGTAAAGGTAAACTGTACTCTTGGAGAGCAGGCAGAACATCTTAGTCATTTTTGGATCTTCAGATCATGTCCAAGTTGATCAGCGAACATTCATTGAATTAAATATCAGCATAAAAACAGCTTTGATTTCAGGACTGCCCTGGTAGTCCAGTGGTTAAGAATCCTCCTTCCAGTGCAAGGGATGCAGGTTTGATCCCTGGTCCAGGAACTAGGTCTCACATGCCTCAACAAAAGACCCGACACAGCCAAAACAAATAAAAAGCCAAAAAACAAAAACAATTTTAATTTCCACTTCTGCCACTATTTAAGGTGGAACTTTATTTAAAGTCCATATTAATTTTCTTTGATTTTGTATTTTACCTCTTGAAAGTAGACAGATTGGTCTTGACAGTATGATATGGATATGATAACCTAGAAATTTGACCTGATGTTATCTTCAGATTTTAAAATTCTACCCATTGCTTTTGTCTTAGGATACAGGATTCCTGTAATAACCAATTTCCATTAATTATTTAAGTTCATTAGCTACATTAATAATATATTAACATTAAAAAATCCTCTCTAATTAGGGTAAGCAGCTAAAAATATAGGTTTTGTTCTGAACCCTTATGAATAATTTCAGTTGTTTTTGATGATTGGAATTTTAATATATTGATCTTTGATGGATGCCATTCTTATCTATTTTATTTAAAGGTAAACTCCTGATCTGCAGTAATAACCAGATTCTAAATTTTATTAGTCTATTTAGACCAAAGTCCATTCCTCGAATGATGTCTGCAAGAGAATTATAGTGACCATACTGAAATATTGATGTAATGTGCCCCTGATATTTTTGTGTGTTAATAATTTTGACTCGGTTAGAATTTCAAAGCTGGAAGAAACCTTGGGGGAGAGAGGGGGGTGGGGCATCTGCACCCTTTTAAGAATCTGGTGCTCTCTTGAGCAGAGGATGTTTTTGAAATGCGTGGACTATCAAGAACAATAGATCTGGTCCTCATCTCTCATTCCTCAAAGGTAGAAATGTAGGCTCGGAAAGACGAGATTACTTGCCTAGAGCTACGTAATTTGCCTTAAGTCACAAAATGTACCCTTTGGAATTAATTTCTATTCCCCCCCTTATGGTGTTCAGCTGGAGTGGGGATAATTAATGTAACTGTGTAGTGTATCTGAAAGTTAATAGGAAAAAAAACAACCATGTAGCACTGTAGCATAGTTACTGATGATACCACCAGATAGACGACATGCATACATACTCATTGTGAGAAAACTTGGTTACCACTGTATTTTCAGCCATTTGTTCTATAAATATTTATTGAACATGGATATGGTCTTTGCTCTAAGGAAACTGACATTCTGATGAGAGACAGACAGTAAATGAGTAAACAGTACCCAGTGATAGTGCTAAGTTGTTATGCAGAGAGCTGAAATACGTTATTGAGTTAGCAGGTTACATTAGGTGGGGAAGGGAAGTCCTCTGAAGTTGTGGTACTTAAGTTGATGTCTACTGATCAGGTGAAGCCATTCAAGCCAAGGTTCAGGGGAATTAACTTGCCAGGCAAGAATAGCTGTGTAGAAGTCTGGAGGCAAATATAGTGTTATTGCATTTAAGGAGTGGAAGATGGTCCTTGTGCCTAGAGAATCAGTGGTTGGGGAGGAAACTGGTGAGAGACCGGTTAAGAAAGGACTAGATGAGTAGGCAATGAAAGCCAGGTTAATGATGAGTTTGGAATTTAGGTGTGATTGGAAGCCCCTGAGGATTTTAAAATGAGACACACATGGTCTGATTTACATTTCATGAAGGTCACACTAGGTATGGAACATGAAATGTAGGGAAGCAAGAGTGGAAGGCAGACAACCAGTTAGGAGGCTGCTGTTGTGCTTTGACAAGTTTTGGATCGGGGTGCTTGCAGTGACAGTAGATAGAGAGGGGGTCCCTGTGGGGTATATTTTAGGGTTGGAGTTTAGAGAACTTGCTGATAAACTTGACTGGAGGGAGAACGAGGAATCAAGGTTCCTTCTGAACTTCTATCTTGAGTAGCTGGATGAATGGGACCTTACAGTAGGGGGGAAGAGTGTAGAGTTAGTTTCTGATCTCAGGATGTTTGAGACTTGGTCCATTTTGATGCACTGTGACTTGGGACTAGTATCTTGTCCTCTTTATAAAACTTCCCCCTCTGTAAATTGAAGGATTTAAACTAGGTATTCTTCAAAGTCTCCTCTATCTTTAGAATTTTCTGAGCTGTGGGTTGATTTTGATTTGAGATATTCTGTGGAGTGTAAGAGCAGGTTTTGTTAAAGGGAAATATGCAGGGCAAGTAAGCCCTCAAGGGACTCCAAGCCTTGCTGGTTTCCTAAGTTCCTCTGTCACCACGTTTATGTGGAAAGAACATGAATCTGGTTGATTTCCTTAAAGCCATTTTGAACACTTTGCAGACTATTGAATCCTTGTGAAAGATGATGAGAGCTGAATCTTTAGTACAAGAATTGACATGTGTATAGCATTTCATTCAAATGTTTTTCATGTGCTTACTAAATGTTAGCTAAGAACTGAAAGTCAGCTCTGGTCTCTATTAACTTAACATGACTTTTTTTTTTTTTAATAGCAAAAGCAGACATGTGTCAGTTTAAATTCAACATCTATGTATTTGGTAAGCGGAGGCCTAAATAAGACTGTTAATATTTGGGATTTAAAATCAAAAAGAGTTCATCGATCTCTTAAGGTAAGCAACTTAAAAAAAAAAATCTTTACAGAAATGTGTTTATTAGTGATTACCAGAATTTAATTTTGAGCTTATATGATAAAAATAAGCAGCTTCAGAATGAAGTGAGATATGTTAGGGAATATAAATATGTATAGCCAAAAGCTTACTTTTTTGAGTTGATTTTTCCTTCCATGTATGTTACTATGTTATTGTGTTGCTGGGGTTGAAACTTTTTCCTTATTTTTTCACTTTGTTCTGCTCTTGAGTGGACCACTTCCTTCATTTTAAAAAAATATAGTTTATTGTCATTAAAGATCTTTTTAACGCTTTTTGAAAAAATGAGAGTGATTTGGGGATGATAGTATTCAATCTGGTAATCAGTTTGGCGATATGGCTTCTTAGTTCTCTGCTGCTATTTGTGTTATTTTTGTGTGTATTTTCATGTTGGTAATAAAATGTTTCTAAAATAGTTTACTATTTATTTATTTATTTCATTTATTTTTATTCATTGGAGGCTAATTACTTTATAATATTGTAGTGGTTTTTGCCATACATTGACATGAATCAGCCATGGATTTACATGTGTTCCCTATTTATAATTAGTGTTTCTTTAAATAGCTTTTGCAGTTTCAGAAAATGAAAATAGTCATTGTGAAAGCCTCTGGTTGTGATTGCTTTTTTGGACTTCTGTTGTTTTAGTATATGGAAGTTCATCTTTAAAATTGTTTTCAATTTTTGTCTTAAAAAAGTTTTAATATGTGAAATTTAAAATATATTTTATATATACACACACATACCTACAAAGAGAAAGAATTTCCTAAAATGTAAAGGCATCTCCTAGCATGCTTCAGGGACCATTTGAGAAAGTTGTAAAATAAGTGGAATATTATAGTTACAATTATTGTTATTACATTAATTAGATACAAAGATTGGTTTGTTTCTGTTATTAAGATGTGACATCAAATTGTTAAAAACTATGCTGACCACTGTGCTCTTAGGCTAGATATCTTTATCTTTAGTCTTGGAAAACATAATCCTTGTGAACTCAGTTTGTTCTAAACTAAACGGTTTTATTTCCTCAAAATGGATTCCCCTATGGATCAGGGAGACAGTGCTGGTATAATGGGAGGAAAATAAGCTTGAATCCTAGCTTTGCCACTGGCAGTTCTGTGAGCTTGCAGTTTGTTAACCTTAGTTACCTCATCTGTAAAATAGAAAACATGACTTTGCCTCCCATGCTTGTTCTAAAGATTAATAATAATTGAAACTCCAGCCTAAGTTGGTACTCAGCAGATGGAAGCAGCGTCTATCAAGTCTCAAACATGCTTTCTCAATTCAGCTTTGGGGCTTTTTTTTGGCTCTCTGCTATTTTACAGCGTTAGGGTTCATTCTCCTTCCCCCGACTTACCTCTTAATCACTTTCTTTAAGGTTGAACTGAGGCTTCCTGTCTTCTGCAAAGCTTCCGTTGTCAACTCAGTTCATGGTGGCGCCTCTTTGGCATTCCACTGCCACTTTGCCCCTGCCACTCATTTAGAATTCATTCTGCCATTTGCATGTTCACTTAAACGTCCTGTCTTCCCCATTGAACAGTAATATTCTCAAGGGCAGGGACTCTCATAGGAGTCAACTTGCAATAAATGATACTTGTCGGTGGAAGTGAATTCTCTAATGTAGTCATAATGCCATTTAGAAAATTACCTTTCCTTTTTGTCTCTTGTTTCATAGTGCCTGATCATTGTATGGTTATGAAAAATAAGTCTCTGTTCCCTGAAAAGACTTGGTGCTGATCAGATAGTTAACTACTCATTTGAGTATTCTTTTTTTTTAGATTATTTTGGGGAAAATGTTAAAGCAAATATTAGATTGACAAATATATAATGTTTACAAAAATATGAAAAATATGCTGTTTGAAGGTTGTGTGGCACTCTATTTACTGTCATTTCTTTCAGGATCATAAAGATGAAGTAACCTGTGTAACATATAATTGGAATGACTGCTACGTTGCTTCTGGATCTCTCAGTGGTGAAATTATTTTGCACAGTGTAACCACTAATTTATCTAGTACTCCATTTGGTCATGGTAATAGCCAGGTACAGTATGGGTTTATTCAAAATAAAGTTGATAAGAGATTTTTAATTATCTTACATAAGGCAATAAATTTAAGTTTTTAAAATTAAGTGTTTAAAATTTGCACTTAGTGTGCTTGAAAAACTTATAGGTAGCTATTTTTTAATGGTAGTATTTTAAAACTAGTATATGTTAGATGATGGGGCTTATATGAGTTTAGTTATGCTTTGAATGGTCACATGCTCCTAGAACTTAACTGCAGTTAAAAAACACAAATAATTATTAATAGATTAAGCCTAAAACATGGGTATTAATGTATGACACCACAATTACAGAAGTATCACATAACTTAAACTGTGCCAGCTACAAGACAGATATATATGTTCATAAATACTCTGATGGACATGGAGTATTTGTTTTTAGGCACAGGGAAAAGAGTTTTCTTTTTTGTTTGTTTCAAGTATGTGATAGTTAAAGTATCAAGGCATATTTATGTATTTTAGGTTAATACAGGAGTATTTAAGGAAATACTTTATGTTTTATAAAGGAAATACTTTATAAATGCTTTTATAAAGCAAAATTAGTTACTGAATTTTTCTTTATAAAAAATTAGTCTGTAAAATTCCTAAAAGAATAAATTTAGTTTCTCAAGAAATCTAGTTCTTGATTAACTTTCCATGAAATTATCCACAGGAATTTCCCATAAGGTGCAAGTTCTTTTACTCCTACTTTTTATTGTAATCACTTTGGCCATATTTTTAGGTAAAATATGGGAGTGCTCCAGTTTTGAAAAGCCTTAAAATCATTCTTTGAACAGTTTATGTTTAGTGTTCAAGGAAAACTTAACAAGTATTAAAAATATACAGAAAAAAGTCTTTTCTCAGATTTCATGTATATTGAGGTACTAGAGATATGATTAGGTTTATGAGAAAGTGAGAGATTGTTGAGAAACAATCTTATGGTCATTCAGAACAGAGAAAAAACTATCTGATTGGGAATAACAGAGAGAAAATTGAAGAAGGGACAGTTTCAGCTGGGTCTGAGGGTTTTGTTTTGTTTACTACTGTATAATTTGGTTCTGCCTTGTACTAGGTCTAGCTCTTTGCATAGTAGTTGGAACTGTGTCTTATTTCCTTGTCCTCAGCTGTTGTCTAACTTTGTGCCTTACACGGAAAAGATCTCCAATAAATATGTGAATGGATGAACACATTTAAAGATAAAGATTTTAAGACGCTAATAAAGAGCTTTGGGAGAGGAGTATTTTATTTGGAGGAAATCATACAAACAAAAATAAAGAGAAAGGAAAGTATATGGGTTTTAAGTAGGAGCTAATGTTGATATGGGACTTTGAATGCCAGACCAAAGGCTTGGCTTTTATTTTGGAAGACAGGGAAAACTAGTCAGAATATTTTGATTAGTTGAATGTCAGAACCATAGAATCCTTGAACTGAAAAAAGCCTTTAGAGGTAACCTCATTTTCTGCATTTTATGGATGAGGATAAGTGATTTAGAGAATGATTAATATGGCCATAAAGATAGGAAGTAGTATTTTGTTTTTGTAATTTTTTGGTTATTTTTATTATAACTGAGACATAAAACCTAAGTGCATAGATATTGGAACTACTGGGAAAAGAAGTCTAGTGTTCAAATAGATGACTTGCTTTTTGAAGAAGCAGAGTAGTCTTCACCTTCCTCTTCTACTTGTTTCATCTCCTTCCTCCTCTCCTTCCTCTCTCTCCTTTTCCTTCCTCTCCCCCTTCCCCGCTCCCTCCCCCAACTTCCCTTCTCCTCCTCTTCCTTCTTTTTCCTCTTTCTCTTTTTCCCTTCCTCTTCTTTGGAAGAAGCATGATATATTAGAAGCATGACAAGTTTAGATTTATAAATTCTGGGTTGACTTTTCAGTAACATAAATATTAGGTTAGATACTGCCATGTATTTTCTCTGAGTTTTTACTGTATTTTACTGGAGAGTTTTGGTTATTGCTCTTGGGCTTATTCTCTGTAAAATATTAAAGTTTTAAAAATTGAGATATATATATGAGATACATACAGTAAAGTACATCCATCTTAAATATACAGCTTGATGAATTTTTATACATGCATACATACACCTATGTAACTGCATACTACCAAAATCAAGATACAGAACATTCCTGGCATACCATAGGTCTCCCTCTTAACCCTTTCCAGTCACTACCTCATATTTCTTAGAAGAATTGTATGTGTCTGGTTTCTTCTGGTCTTCATTATGTTTGTTGCATGGAATAGTAGTTTATACTGCTTTAATTTCTGTGAAGTGTTCCATTATAAGGATATACCACCATTTATCCATTCTACTATTGATGGACGTATGAGCTGTTTCTCATTTGTATCTATTGTGAGAAAGCTACTATGAATATTCTCATATGAGTCTTTTTGTGGATACATGTTTTCATTCCTCTTGAGTAAATAAATACTCAGGGGTGAAATCGCTGGGTCTTAGGGTACGCATTAAGTTTTACTTCATTAAAAATTGTCAAAAAGTTTTTAAAGTGCTTGTGCCATTGATTATGTCTGTAAGCAATGTATGTGAGATCCAGCTGTTCACGTTTTTGCTCATATCAAGTATTGTCTTGCTTATTCACTTCAGCCACTTTGATGGTTGTGTAATTGTATCTCATGATGGTTTTAATTTGCATTTCTCTGTTGAATGAGTTGGGCACACTTTTGTATACTTTCTTTTGTGACTATTCAGGTCTGTTCCCTTTTGTTTGGGGTTGTGTTTTTCTGATTGATTTATAGTTTATTCTGTTTTCCAGATGGAGTCATCCTTTGGCTATACATGTTGCATCATGTGCCTTCTTTTTTAGCCTATGGCTTTCCTTTTCACTCTCTTAATGCTTTTAAAAAATGAACAGAAGTTCTTAAATGTATGTCTCTTGTGCTCCATCTCAAAGTAGTTTTTGTATGTGGTATGAGATGGGATTCATCTTTCCATACAGGTATATGATTATGCCAGCATTATTTATTGCAAAGACCATTTGACTGCCACTGGGGTGAGTGTAGGTGATGAGAGGGTTTGGAGAACATTCCAGGTAGAGGTTATCACCTTTATAGAATTCTTACCACCATTTATTGTGTTTCAAGTACAGTAATTGTCACTTTATATATCTTTTCTCACTTATTCTTTGCTGCTCACTTCTGAGGTATAGGTTATTCTCATTTTAAAAATGAGAAAACTGAGATCCCAGGACTTTGAGACCACAAAATCCTTAATTGACTGACTTGAAGGTCAACTCTTGAAGAGTGCTAGCATTGTTTCCTTTTGGGTCTCTCTGTGGTTCAGGGGCAGCTAAATGTGTAAGTATTTGAGGATCCAAAGCTTCAGGAAACTTTGCAACGTTCTCATGTCACTTTGTGCAGGAGTCCCAAATTTTATTATCTCTTCTTTACATAAAAGAAATATATTTTAAAATGCTAGGTGGCAGATTGCTGTATTGTTGATTTTCAAAGGATTTTCATTGATTACTTTGCATGGCAGACCTGAATTTATCTCCTAGTTTAGGAAGACAGTAATGCTGAAAGCTTATCTCTTGTGCAAGGTCAGATGAACTGCAGCCTAGACTTTCATGTCCCTGCTGCTTCCCACTCGGGCAGTTGGCCTCTCTGTGAGCTTTTTTGGGTGTAGTGTTATGTTGTAACCACATGTTTATTTGGAGGCAGCTGTGTGAGCCTGGGCACGTGACTTAGCTCTCAAGCCTCCTTTTCCTTAACTGTCAGGTGAGAATGAAAATATACTCTCAATAAGGTTTTTGTTTTGTCATTTTTAGGGCTAAATGAGATGCTAATATAGTTCATAATATGTGATAGGAGGTCAGGGAGCTTTTGATAAATAATCATATTAATTTATTAAAATAGCTTTTGTGATTAACTTCTGCAAACTGCTTTGTATCTTTAGGTTTAATGCATTCCCTCCAGATTAACCAGTTATAACTTGACCTCAGGAATCATAATTTGTGTTTTAGAGCAATATAGAGTAAGGAGAGTGTTAAGAAGATGAAGAAATCAAACTGGAGCATGTTGATTTTTTTCTTTTTTCCTGGAACAAATGTTTATATATTTTTCATGTACTATATTATTTCATTTTTCTTTACACCATTAAAGCAGAATGCCTGGGCTCCCTGTAAATACCAGTCGGTCTCTATGTATGTAAGTATGCAGTCTGTTTTTTTAGTGAAGAAAGTCGAAGTTATGATTCTGCATATTTACATTTCCATTTTGCAGGCAGCATAATTGAAATCTGTGGAGTTTTAAAAATTGATTCCTCAAAATTCATTTAGGATTTCAAGTATATTAAATACTCATTTTAGACATTCAAACAATGTTCATAAAAATGTCAACTCTAAAAATTGACATAATCCAATTCCAGTATACTGTCATCCAGTCAATTTCCTATGCTGATCAGTTTTACTATAGGGTTTGGGTTATTGAGAAAAATAGTAGGTAGGGCACATCTAATGATTAAAAATTTCTAATTTTGTTTCTATGAGCAATCAAGAATTTGAAATCTTTAAAAATCATCAGATTGCTTTCTTAGCAAAAGTGACAAAACCACAGAGTCTCACTGAATCTTTATACTGAATTTCATATTAGAAATGAGATTGCCTGAATATATTTAGAATCTTACTTTGAAGTGTCTGAGCTGAATTGAAGCTATTAGTTTTCTGTGGGTCGCAGTGTCTATCTGCAGGGGCAAAAAGCCTTACTGCTTCTGCAGAGCTGCCAGGGCTGACACACTCCTTAGATTATAATTGCAAGTCACTATTTGGGCAAGTTCAGCAGCTTAGGCTCACCAGTAGGTTAACCTGTGTTGCCTTTCTCAGACTGTAGCCTTTTTGAAAGCATTTAAAATGTGGATATTTTATTGATTCCTTAGATTTAAAAGTGATCTTTAAATGTAATATCTGTGAGATTATAAATACATTTTCAGTGTATGTTAAGTCCATTTTCTTCAGTGAAATTTTTGACATTTTAGATACAGATTCTGTAAATATTAATAAGCATTTTGAGTATAGAGATCTGGTAAATAATTATTAGTTACATTTTAAAAATAATTATTTTATCAAGAAAGAGTTTAATTCCAATTTGGTTGACTTGGTTGATTGGTTTTGTTTATATCTGAGCTTTGGCACTCAAGAACTTTGACTTACTACAAAGCTTTGTATCTAGAGTAGTGGTTTCCTGTATGTTATATGGGGGCATTGGTATACAGTTATGTATTATGGTGTAAAATGTCCTTGATTAACTCAGTATGTTTCCTTAGTATTTGTCCACTTTTCTAGCCTTCATATTATGTTTTTGAGCAGTTTTGTGATTGACATGTTGGTGTAAGACAAACTTCTATATCTTTATATATTGCTTCTTAAAGTATTATTTTGTCCTTTGATTTTTCTCTTCTAAATTTTCTTTAATAGAAAGTGATTTGAAGAATGTTTTCTTGCAGTTTATCTGTGTAGCTCTGTCTTCCTTCCATAAACTTATAATTGTTCCATTGTTTCAGTCTTCCGCTTTTTCTTACTAGTGTTCTGTCCTAGGTATTCTCATGGCTAGTCTTCACAGTTACAATTTTTAGTGGCTATATAATATTCCATTGTTCAGATGTCACAGTTTATTTAGATAATCCTGTACTTTAGGTATTTTCCAAATTTTTATAGTCACAATGAATAACATACGTTAATACTATTTCTGTAAGTATATGTTTTCTGCTTTTGACTTTTTCTTTGAGATTAAAAATTCTCTTTCAGTGTAACTCTGTAGCAGGCTCACATTTTCTTTCCTTGAGGAGTTAAAGTGTGTTATTCTTATCATTTTTGGTCTCAAATGTCTGATCATAATTTAAGTATTTTTTTCCTTATAAGTTACTTGTTCTTTTTCCTATATGTGCAGAGATTTTTTTTTCCTTTAAAATCCAGTAATTCTTCTAGATTGTGTCCTGGTTTTGGTTATTCTGTATTGCTATTTTTAGGTACATGGTATGATCAGTTAATATGTAATTTCAAATCTTTTTTTCTTTCAGGGAGTTTTCTTGAATTACAGTTTTTAGTATTTGATATCTTCTTTATCTTTGTTTTTTCTTTGTTGTATCTTCTTCAGTGATTTACTACTTTCATATCATTTTTAACTTTTTCCCTTATTTTTAATTTTTAAAAATTCTTTCATTTTGACCTATATTTAAGTTATATTTGTTATATTTATTTGTTATATTTGTTATATTTATTCATTCTGTATTCCTTATACATTTAATGAAGGCTATTGTAGTGTAGCCTTCTTTCCTTTTTTTTAGCCTTCATCTTTAAAAGGATTAAAATTTCTAATTTTTTTCCAAGTTCTGACATCTCATTTTTGAGTTTTCTAATTCTGACTTACATTGTTTTTTTTAATGTCTTATATCATTTTACTGTCTTTTTGGGCATCTGTTGAGAATGTCTTCTTTCTTGTTCTCCTGTTCTCATAATAACTTTGTCTGGGGTTCATCTGTGAAGTCAGTTTCCCTCAACTCTACAGCAGAGATGGAGTTTAGAGGGTAGCTCTTCTGAGTTTGCTTGGTTTTGTTCTGCTCCCGGACTTGTATGTGAATTTTCACTCTCCTTCAACTATCTTGACTCCAACCTGTTCAGGTTTGTTTCCATTGCTAGTAATGTCTCCTCAGTATGGAGCCCTGACCTGGGAAGGAGATGCCTTGGCTGGACAGTTTTGGGGGTGTTCTAGCCCTTCAGACCTTTCTGCAAACTTCTGGGACAGAACTACTAATGCTGATTCTATGGATATTCCTGGTTTAGCTGATATTGTCAGATTGGCCACCACACTTTCCCGTGGATACATTTTGGCTCTGTGGGGCTCTTCCTGTTCTCAAATCTTTCTCAGTCCCTGTGATTTCCCTCTGCTTCCTCCTGCACAGATGTTAATACTATGAAGGACTATGGCTGTTAAATGTTTGATCTACTAGTGTATTTTGGGGCTCATGGGACCACCTGAAATGGTCTAGTTTTACTGTGAGTGTTCATGGGGTTTTAGTTTTCTATCTGGTTTGCTATCTGTAACACATACACACTCACACATTATACTCACGCTTTGTGCTGGGATTCCCAAGACCAGGTTTGATGCTGTGCTGGGAGGACTCACAGGACTCAGTGCAGAGAGGTGGTGTTCGTGGCCATGATTTATTACAGTGGAAGGATGCACTGCACATCAGCAAAGGGAAAAAGGTGCACAGGGTGAAGGCCCAGGGAAACCAGGCGTGAGCTTCCACAAGCCTTCTCTCAGTGGAGTAGATGTGTTTAATTTTTCCAGGATCAAATTGTGACAGCATGGATGGAACATGGTTTACCGGGGAAGCTTGTTAGAGACTGATTGGCCAGGGACTTTGTTGGAGGCTGGTTATCTTGACATCCTCTGCCTAGCATGTACTGAAATTCCAATTTCTAATAAGGAAAGCAGGTGTTCATCCATGGTTCAGTCATCAACCATTTTTTTTGCACAAACAGTTTGGGCACAGTGAGCCACTCTTTATCAGTCAGTGAGTCACTGTCTTCAGTTAGGGTGGTGGGAACCCCCCAAAAATCCAAGTTTGAAGACTCCAGCCAAGGGCCAATCTTGAAAGCAGGACTTTATAAGGATAAGCAGTCTTAGGCCTGCTTGTGCACACATCCACACACAAATGGAGGGATTTAAGGAGATTGAAAAACTCTGCAATGGTCGTAACCTCTATCTTCTCAGAGTCCTCCAGTTACAAGGACTTTGGGCAAGACAGAATTAGGTTCAGATTTCTGGCTTTGAAGAAGTTATTGCTGCAGTGGTATGAAGGGTAGGTAGCAAGCCACTGAGAATGGAAATAGGTGACAGATGATTGGTGCTTGCAAGAAAGAGGAGGGAGGAATGGAGTTGAAGGGATACCATGTATATTAATATTTATGAGACTGTGTTTTGTGTATAAAAGGCTTCCCCATGGCTCAGCAGGACAGAATCCTGCTGCTAATGCAGGAGACAGGGCTTGATCCCTGATCCAGAAGATCCCCTGGAGAAGGAAATGGCAACCCACTCCAGTATTCTTGCCTGAGAAATTCCATGGACAGAGGAGCCTGGTGGGCTACAGTCCATGTGGTTGCAGAGTTGGACACAACTTAGCGATTAAACAACAGCATAGTAATTATCTTACCTTAGGTGTCAGGTTGCAAATACTCGGTTTCCTTAGACAGAATATGTTATTCTTACATATTTCTTGTTGTTGTTGAGGGCTAATACTTACTGTTTTGAAACATCTTAGAAGTAGAATATGAGTTTTTAATATGTAAAAGCTAGTGGAATCTAAATTTCAAATTTTAAGTCTTTTTTGAAGTGTGTTAGATTAGATAGAACAAACAAAAAGCCTTCAGGTTTGACTTTTGTTCTGTGGCAGTTTTATCTGGGACCTGTATGTGTAGCTGATAACTGCCAACTATGATTCATTCAATGATTCATTGCTTTCCTTGAGACTATAAATAAAAGTGTCTTGTGGCTAGTTTCCCAATCTGTGGCTTCTGCTTAATATTGATTTCTATACTTTTATTTTGCTTAAATGTAAAAAATCAGGTGATTGTGAAATATTTAATTCTCAACACAATAAGTGATAGTATCAGCCAAGTTAGAAAGTAACATTTTAGTAAAAGTAGATAAAATTCATCCACTTTCAGTCTCATAAGACCTGCTTACTCAAACTGGATCTTTGTTTATTCCTGTCCAGCCGAAACTGGAAAAAAGTCTCCACTGCCTCCAGAGATGAGTGTTTTAGAGAAAGGCTAGCGTTGCCCTCAGGCCAATGCTTTTGAAAGAATGGTAGGCCATCCACAGTCTAGAGTGTTGCCAATACCCCTTTCATATTTAGTTTATTTTTTATTGTGCTTCCACTGTTGAACTGCCAGCACATCAGATTCAAAGAAATATATTCAAATATCAAAAATATATATTGGAAACAAATACAGACTATTATTACTTATTCTTTACCTGTGTTCCCTTGTACTTATTCATGATCTGTCTGTGACTGGGTCTTTTATTTAGGTGGAATGTTCTAATCCTGATGAATTAATATAGTTTACCTCAATATATTGTATTTTTCTTCTGTAAAAGAGGTGATTGAGGTAACTCTACTCTGACATAATAAAATCATGAGTACTGTTCAGTTACTAGAATTAGGATCTTATAGGCCACTAAATGATTTTATGTTTGTCCTGATTATGAAACCTGTTATGCCATAAACAAGAGAAGTTCTGAATCCCTTGTGAATAATATGGTTAGTATTTGCCCATTATTTATACCTTATATAAAATGTTCTTATGTATGCTTACAATTACATAAAATTTATTTTTATTTTCCTAGTCTGTTCGGCACTTGAAGTACTCCTTATTTAAGAAATCACTCCTGGGCAGTGTTTCAGATAATGGAATAGTAACTCTCTGGGATGTGCATAGTCAGAGTCCATACCATAACTTTGACAGTACACATAAAGCTCCGGCTTCAGGCATCTGTTTTTCTCCTGTCAATGAACTGCTATTTGTAACTGTGGGCTTGGATAAAAGAATCATTCTCTATGACACTTCAAGTAAGAAGTAAGTATAACATGCTCATTTCTTAATTTAGTAACAAATAATTATTTCACTAGTAGCCATATTTGTGATTTGCATAGACCTCTGATGAATGTTAAAAGGTCTAGAGATTACACATTTGGTGTCTAACAAGGTAAAATTTTCTCTTTTTCTTCCCATGTGCAGAAAAAACTTGACGAGATGTGGGTGTTCTTTAGAGTACTTCTGGGTGATGAATGTTGAGGGGTAGCATGTTGACGATTTCACATCTTTATTTTAGCATGCATGCCATGTTATTCTCTTCAGAATGCAACTAAATTTGTATATTTTTAAAGCAACATGATTAATTTGCTTTAAAATTACTTCAGTGTCTAGAGCAGGGTTTCTAAGCCTTGGCATTTGGGGCTGGATAAGTCTTGGTTGTGGGGAGCTGTCTTGAGCATTGTGGGAAATTCAGCCTGGCCCCTACTTACTATTAGGTTGGTGCAAAAGTAATTATGGTTTTACACTTGAAATTTGCCATTTGACATTGAAATATATTCTTAAATAAATGTGGCTATGTTACTGTTGCTGTTGTTCAGTCGTTCAGTTGTGTCCGACTCTTTGCAACCCCATGGACTGTGGCATGCCAGTCTTCACTATCCTTCACAATCTCCCGGAGTTTGCTCAAGCTCATGTCCATTGAGTCTGTGATGCCATTCAACCATCTCATCCTCTGTTGTCCTCTTCTCCTACTGCCTTCAATCTTTACCAGCGTCAGGGTCTTTTCTAATAAGTCAGCTCTTTACATCAGGTCGCCAGAGTTTTGGAGCTTATGTTATAGATCATTTTAATGCACATTTACCACTTTTTTTTTTGTTGCTAATACTTATTACTTGCTGTTTTTTAAAAAATATTATTTATTTTTATTTATTTATTTATTTGACTTTGCTGGGTCTTAGTTGCAGCATGTGAGATCTAGTTCCCTGACCAGGAATCAAAACCCTTCCCCCTGCATTGGGAGCGTGGTGTCTTAGCCACTCGACCACCGGGGAAGTCCCTGCTGTTTATTTTATATTTATTTTAGACTGTGGGAATGATGTTCGACTTCCTGGTGGCTCAGGTGGTAAAGAATCTGCCTGCAATGCAGGAGGCCTGGGTTCAATCCCTGGGTTGAGAAGGTCTCCTGGAGAAGGGAACGGCTACTCACTTCAGTATTCTTGCCTGGAGAATTCCATGGACTGAGGAGCCTGGTGGGCTACAGCCCATGGGGTTGCAAAGAGTTGGACTTGACTGAGTGACTAACACTTTTACACTTTACATGGAAGTGATGTTAGACAAAAAGCAAATTTGAGTGATTTTCTTATTCGAGTTTAAAATGGATCATAAAGCATCAGAGACGACTCACAACATCAGCAATGCATTTGGCTCAGGAACTGCTGACAAATATACAGTACAGTGGTGGTTCAAGAAGTTTTGCAAAGGAGACGAGAGCCTTGAGGACTGAGGAGTGTAGTAGCCAGCCATCAGAAGTTGACAACGACCAGCTCAGAGCATCATTGACGCTGATCCTCTTAACAGCTACCTGAGAAGTTGCCAAAGAATTTAGTGTTGACTATTTTATGATTGTTCAACATTTGAAGCAAATTGGAAAGGTGAAAAAGCTTGGTAAGTGGGCGCCTCATGAGCTGACCGAAAATTTAAAAAATCATTTTGAATCTTCGCTTACTCTATGCAACAGCAACAAACCATTTCTTGTTTGGATAATGATGTGCAACGAAAAGTGGATTTTATACAACAACCAGTGACGAGCAGCTCAGTGATTGGACCAAGGGGAAGCTCCAAAGCATTTCCCAAAGCCAAACTTGCACCAGAAAAGGTCATGGTCACTATTTGGTGGTCCAAATCCACTACAGCTTTCTGAATCCTAGGGAAACCATTACATCTGAGAAATATGCTCAGCAAATCAATGAGATGCACCAAAAACTGCAATGCCTGCAGCCAGCATTGGTCAACGGATGGGCCCAATTCTCCATGGCAACACCCCACCACGCGTCACACAACCAACGCTTCACAAGTTGAACAAATCAGGCTACAAAGTTTTGCCTCATCTGCCATATTCACCTGACCTCTCGCCTACTGACTACCACTTCTTCAATCATCTCGACAACTTTTTGCAGGGAAAACGCTTCCACAACCAGCAGGATGCAGAAATTGCTTTCCAAGAGTTCATTGAATCCTGAAACATGGATTTTTATGCCCCAGGGATAAAGTTATTTGTTGTTGGCAAAATGTGTTGATTGTAATGGTTCCTATTTTAATTAAAAAAAGATGTGTTTGAGCCTAGTTATAATGATTTAAAAGTCACAGTCGAAAACCACAGTTATGTTGGCCCCCACCTAATAGGTGTTAATAGTACTCCTCAAATTAGCAAAGGTAGCAAAATTACTCCCAGTTGAGAACCCCTAATATAGCGCTAAAGGGTATGTGATTCTCTGAGTAGCTAGGGCTGTTTTGCCTTCTTGTCCTTCTTAGATTATAAATGTGCTTGGTTAGCTTAAAAAAACAAACAAAAAAAGGCTTCAGGAGTGCTGGAGGTATATTCAAGACATCTACCAGTATCTGAAGATCATGTGGAGAGAAGTGGAAATGATGTGATAATACTACTAGGGAAGGACCTACTGTAAGCCCCCTTTTAAAGTTGACTGTTACCTATTTCACTCTTCTTTTTGTATTTTTTTCCTTATTCTTTGTTATTCTTTTATTTTGAGCTAATTTACTGAGAACCCTAACAGTAAGCCATTCCTCTCATATACCAGACATCCCAGCAAGGATCTCAGCTTAGCTTCCAGCAGAGTTAAGCCTCATGAGTTCTAGCTTTGGTTTAAGAGATGCAGAACTAAGAGCAAAGTCGCAGCTGCTTCCTTGTCAAAGGTCACAGTCCTCTTGAGGCCCAAGCAGGTCCCTAAATGGAAAGGAGATACTTACAGCATGCCTGACCCTGAGGTTGTGTGTTTATGTGTGTTATTTGCTCAGTCATGTCTGACTCTGTGTGACCCCAAGAACTATAACCCACCAGGCTCCTCTGTCCATGGAATTCTCCAGGCAAGAGTACTGGAGTGGGTTGCCATTCCCTTCTCCAGAACCCTGAGGCTATAGAGCCCTTACTTGTGGAGTCATATTCACTGCCAAAATAATAATTACTCAAGAAATAGGTCCTGTTTCTAGAGAGTATAGAATGTATCTGTTAGATGTGAATAGAAAAATAGGATGGAGTGCTTAGCAGTTCCTTATATTAGGTCTCTAGGTCTAATTCTAAACTTCTACTTTAAGCAGGTATTTGAGATGGATATTCTAAAGTAAATAACTTTGCTGAATTCCAAGTAACTTTGGTTTTTGTTTACAGTTATTTGTATGTTGTATAGGCTTATATGAGTACATCCACGTATCTATATATACTTTGCTGTCCTTTCCAAAGGCTCGTGAAAACTTTAGTGGCTGATGCTCCTCTGACTGCAGTGGATTTCATGCCTGATGGAGCCACTTTGGCTATTGGATCCTCCCGTGGGAAAATATATCAATATGATTTAAGGATGCTGAAATCACCAATTAAAACCATCAGTGCACATAAGACATCTGTGCAGTGTATAGCATTTCAGTACTCCACTGTTCTTTCTAAGGTAAGATATTTTCTTTTCAGCATTTTTTGATTGTACTAAATAAATCTGGATCAGAGTATGGAAGTCATATGTTGTCAATTATACACAGTGTACTTTTGCTTCATAATCATTCATATCAAAACATTTATAATAATTTTAGTATAAATCCTTTTGATACTTAGTTTTAAAACTTTATTTATTTGTTTGTACTTTTCACAATTCTCCATCTTTAAAGCTATAAAAGGCTTTTATGATTCAGAGGGACACTCTCATATTCATCAGCGAGCTTAAGATTTCTAAAGGAAAAAAATATGTTTCAGATGAATAGGGAATTTATAAAATATTAATGTATAGTATGGAGCATTAGAAACCTGAGCTTTTTACATATTCCATTACATTTCAGTCAGGTTTGAATAAGGGCTGTTCAAATAAGCCCACAGCTGTGAACAAACGCACTGTTAATGTGAGCGCCGGCGGAGGAGGAGCCCAGAATCCTGGTGTGGTCAGAGAGGCAGCCACCACATCCCTTGCCACAGTTCTGCCCCAGCCCACGGCAGCCGCTGTGGGAAAGGGAACAAGTGCTCCTCAAGACAAAGCAGGTAACTGTTGCTTGTATATAGTCCTTGGAGTTCCCATCCTGTATCCTCCCCAAATGAATGTCGTTATCACTTTTCTCAAGAACCTAGAATTTTAATCCACTTGAGGACTTGGGTAAAATTATTAGTAGATAGTGAAAATTGAAAAAGTGATAAGTTCCACTTTAGCTCTAACTTTTTAAAAAAATTAATGAAAGATTCTTCACTTATTCTGTTTAGCTGAACTTCTGTTTTAAGAAATATTATCTTAAAAGCAGAGTAATGCCCATACAAGTACTGCTGTGGACTAGACGACTTTTCATTGCATCTTTAAAGCTGAATCAATAGAGAATATGAAACTTTGATGCTTTCATTATGATTTGATCTCTTAGTTAAAAAAAGGCTATTAATGGCTCTTTTACTTCATATTTCAAAATGGAAAGTAAATCAGGTGGTGAAATGAATATATTTAAGTGCTGAATAGTGCCTGGCATGTATTAAGCAGTAAATTTGTCATTTGTTAAATAAAAGGGAATGAAAATGTTGCAATTTTTAAATAATTTCTATTCTGATAATCTTATCAGTTCTTAAATCAGAGTTCCTTTAGACTTTGTAAAGGTATAATGTGGTGATAAGCTTCCCCGTACTTCTTGTAGAAAATACTCTTCACCTACAATAAATAATTCCCTAAATTCCTGAAAGCCTTTTTGTTTTTATTTTAAGAAATTATGCTATACTGTCAACTTTCAACGTAATTTTTAAAGTCTGCATGGTATACCAGTATGTTCCCAAAGTACTCTTACCAGAATTGAACGTACTCATGTCTTTTTTGATTTTCAGGATAAGTACTTAACTTGAACACAAATACTTGGTGGTGCTTTTTCAGTTTACTATGAGTTTACTATTTCCAAGTATAAGCAAAACTTTAATTTGTTATTTTTAATAGTGTGGAATAGGTTTTTTAAACAAATAGTAAGTATATTCACTATAAATTATCTGTGAATATCTGTATCATCCTTACATAAAAATCATTATAAATTATATAGAAAATAATAAGTTTCTTATTTAAGAACTTGTAGGAATGAATACTATTGCTGTCTCTTTAAAAGAATAAATGTTGCATTAACTATATTATGAGAACTGGCATTTTTCAAAATTACTATTTTATTCATAATTTTCAAAGATTAAACAAAATAAAGATTTTGTCATTTATTGTAAGCTTGCTGAAGTCTCAGTGTCTTTCATTTAATTTTTAATAAGGGAGATTATATGTAACAATGGCAACACTAATCAGATGTTCTAGACTTGGGTCTACAGGGCCATTATTTAATGGTAATTCTTGGCTGATTACCAGTTTCTGGCAAAATGAATGCTTACTCTGTACTCCCAAGGAGTTAGAAGTTTGTTTTATTAATTTTAAGTTTATTAATTTTATTTTAAAAGAATTGCAGACTTACAGAAAAGTTTGAATAACACTGCAGAGAACTCTTGGGCTCTGGTATGTCCTTTAGCAGATTCACCATTTTGTAAACTCTGCCACATTTGCTTCATCATCTTCCCTCTCTCAGCTCACACACACAGGTATACGTTTTTACTCTCCTCTGAAGCATTGAGAATATATTAGGCTTCTGTCTTAGGACTGTCACCTTCCTACCTGGATGACGCTAGGCAGTTTTCTAAACCACTCGTTAGTCTCATTTTTCTCTTCCATAGATAATATTTAACATTTAGAGTTACTGTGAAAATTATCAGAAGTGCTTGGTGGATGTAGGCACCCAATGAATTATAATGTTGTTAATATTGTCATTACGATCATTATTGTTACTATTACTTTAAGCATCATGTAAAATAAGTTTAAAATTTGAAAAAAGTTCATATGGCTTTCTACTGAAGGTGTCCTAATTTAGTTATTGAAAACAACCTCTGCAGGCTTGTTGCTGGTGCTCTTTTCCAGTAGGAAACAGCCATTTAAGAAGTGAAAAATTATACTTTCACAGTATTTTCAAATGATACCAAGCTTCTATTTCATAAAGTTCCAGAGGCTAGAGTTACTCATTCAAACATGTTAAGGACCTAGAAAAAGGAGAGGAAATTTCCTCTGTATAACCGTTTGTACTCTTGGTATAAACACCCTTCAGTGATGGTGATAAACAAATGTTTGGTCATATTTTAACTTTCTGTGAGCTTACTATTAGTTAGGTTTATTTCATTAACCAGGCTTGGACATTTTTTAATATTTTGAACAGAGCGAATCTTTGTTTTTATCCCAGGCTTTTTCAGGTTTCATTTGAGACCAAGATGGCAAATAAAACACCTTTAAAAACAAAGGACAGAAATATGCTACCGATTCAAGTGCCAAACTTTCATCAAAGTTCTTGATTCTCTAGAACTCAATCCTTGACCCAGAAATGAGCAAGAGTTACTGAGCCTGCAGAATTCCTCTTAAAACGTCCCTGCCCTAAAGTCTTATTTAGAGAGAAAGCAAACTTTCTGCATAGCTGCATGTCTCTATTATTAGTCTACTGTACTGTTCTTTATGAGTTTGGTATTCTGGTTTCCTTCCTGTCCGGAAGCTGTCCTAAGATTAGTGAAGGCCTTTAAGGTCAGTAATGCTAAGAGCAGTGTGAGGTTCCCACTATTAGTGAAGAAAAAGATAAAGAAGGGAAAAGAAGAGATCCATTCACTGCATGTTGGGAAAGGGAACTAACATTTGAATACTGCTGTGTATTTGGTGTTGTACTATATGCCTTAGAGACATTTTTTAATCATTGTAGATGACCCTGAGTCAGTCACTAATAGTAAGCTGTGCTCAGTATACTTTGTGTAAGAAAAATACATAAAGTTCTTAGAAAAGTTCTATCAAAATGGATTTAAAAAGTGGCGTTATATAAATAAGTTAGTTGCTTTTGAGGAGCCCTTCATTCCATGAAAATGATGGTTAACTGAGCTGTTGTTTATTTGTGGTATTACCAATGATATAGGTAAGACATTAGGTTTTAGTTTCTAGCTTCTCATGATAAACTTATTTACATATAATAACTTATTTTTATATCCAATTTCTATAAGGTCTGACTCGAAGCATAAACACCGATACTTTATCAAAGGAAACAGAGAGTGGGAAAAATCAGGATTTCTCCAGCTTTGATGATTCTGGAAAAAGTAGTTTAGGTGACATGTTCTCACCTGTCAGAGATGGTAAGTCTGTTCACATCAGAGGATCATGTTCTCTTGCTCTGGTGGCCATAACGTTTTTATTCTGGCTAAAAGATGGGGATAATAGCTTCAGTCTCACGCTATTCATGATAGTTGCTGATTTTCTCAGTCCCTGAGGTGGTATCTTTCCCTTTGCCCTGAGATTGCAAATGTTATCTTTCTAAAATACATGCTAATAGTTTACACATGGGAACCAAGCAAATAGCTCTCAAGTTAGCATTTTTAATTTCCACTGAAGTTTCTTTCAGGAAATTCTGCCTCCACAGACAGTCTTTTACTTGTATTTATTTCTAAGAAAGTCTACCCCAAATCTTGGATATTTTGATAGGCAGAAAATATCTTCCTAACATTAAAAAAAAAATGTTCCTTTGATTATTAGTAACTGGTATTAAGGGTTTTCATGGAGAAATATGGCTGGGGGTTAGATTGCCTCATCTTTTACACTAACTGTGTATGAAAGTACCCTCAACACACACACACACTCACTCACTCTCCATAGCTAGTAGGTGTTCACACACACACATACACACTCACTCACTCCCTCTCTCCTCTCCCCACATCACTAGTAGGCATTGCCATTGAAAAGAAATAAACCTAAACAATGAAACAAAAAAACCTTTGCCAGTTTTTAAACAGAAACATTATGTATCATTGTTGTTCACTCTCTATGAACTAGGCACATGGTTTGGCTGTACTTTTTTTGCGCTAATGTTCATACTGTTTTCTTTAATGGGATAGTCTCACTACTAACAGCAGTTTTATCAACAGTATGGGGTAAATTTCTAGAGGATAATTTTGCAGATGAAAATATTTATACTTTTCGTCCTGTTAATTCCATTTCTATAAATTTACCTTAAAAGATGTTCAGAGAAACCCTCAGAGATTTGTGTTTACTGTTTATTTATAATAATAAAAAACAGGAGTGAATCTAAATGTCAGCAGCATCAGGGTGTTTAATTTATTATATCCACTCATGATCTTATAAAATTTAATTTTTTACTTTAACATTGTCTTTCAAAATTTTCTTCAACTAATTTCATAAGAGGAAAGGATAAATATATATGTAATGGTACAGGATTATTGAGTGTCTTCTACCTTACCCTACTCAAATTGCCCAAATTCCTACTTCTATCTAATAAAAGAGGAAGAATTCCTTTCTTTCAGAATGAAGAGAGGTCATACTACATAGTTGAGGGGTAAGGAGAGGAAAGATATGGGCAAAGCAGGTAGAAGTGGCTTGGGCTGGGGATCAGAAAGGTTTTGGAGTTTAGTACCCAACTGGGGAGCTTTGTTTATGAGAATCACTGGAGTAATTTTTTATTTGAATTTAATTTTTTAATTGAAGGGGTTTTTTGGAAGTGTTTGAGTTATAAATAAAATCTTCTTTAACGGTGTTTGATGGTAAAGTACAGGAAATAAACTCCCTTTTAATTGCTTTTGCTATTTAAAAAAGATATGATTAGAATTTGACCCATATGCCCTTCCATTTATTAGAGTTTGATATTAATAAGAAAAAATGTTGATACTATAGTACTGGTTTTCACTGTCAAGAGGTTTGAATTTTAATCTCTAAGAATCAATACTACTTAGGTAAAAGGCTTCATCTTTTTGTGCCTCAATTTCTTCATCTTTTAAATAATACTTTTGCTTTTGTTAGGAAAAAATGAGCAACTTCTAAAAATGTGTGTTGTATGATTGCTGCTGCTGCTGCTGCTAAGTCGCTTCAGTCGTGTCCGACTCTGTGCGACCCCATAGACAGCAGCCCACCAGGCTCCCCCGTCCCTGGGATTCTCCAGGCAAGAACACTGGAGTGGGTTGCCATTTCCTTCTAGTATGATTACTAGATGTAATACACACATGCAGACAGAGATATGAATGAATGGAGTTATAGATGAAAGTCCTACTCGTGTGATAATCATGTATGATAATTCATTGGCCATTTGAACTTCTGGGGAATTTTTAAGTGACCTTTCCCCATTTTTATGTTAATCCATTATAATTGAGATAAGCAGTTTTTGGTTGTTAATTGATAAATGAATAATATTACAGTATTGAAATATTCTTAAACATATTCTGTCATTGAAAAGATGTTAATAAAACCTTATATTTTTAATTAACATTGTATTGTTTGCAAAGTATTTTTACATTATTTCAGTTGATCCTTAAAACAGTTTTCTGAGGTGGTCGGGGCATCGTCCCCATTATGTAAGTGTAGAAACTGAAGCATAGTTGTATTAAAGTCTTGTCCAAGGTTACAAAGCTGTTAAGTGATATAGGCAGACCTGGATTACCGGTCTTTGGAGCCTTCTTCAGTGCTTTTTCTAATATACCTTGCTGTCTCATTAAATGACTCTATACCATAGAATTATCTTTTCATATTTGCTACCATGCATGAAGGTAAAAGAATGAAAAGAGAATTTTTAGGAGTACTAGCTTTACCTTCATTTAGATTTTTCTTCATAAAATCATTAGTCTCTGAACTCTTTAGGGAATGGATAGGAAGTCTAAATTGCCATGGCTTCTTTTGCATTATTTTTTAAATTTTATTTTCTAATTTTATTATAGATGCTGTAGTTAACAAAGGAGGTGATGAGTCCATAGGCAAAGGAGATGGTAAGAACCATTGAGAAGTATTTTTTATCAACCTTAAAAGTGATTTTGTGTTACCTACTTCTGTGTAACAAATTACCCCATCATTTTGAAGCTTAAAAGAATATTTATCATCTCATAATTGTGGATTAAGAATCCAAGCATGGCTTAGCTGGATGCCTTTGGCTTCAGGTATCTCACAATACTTTAACTAGGGTGTCAACAGGACTGCAGTCATCTCAGAGTATGACTGGGCAAGGATCTGCTTCCAAATTCACTCATGTGGCTGTCTGCTAAAGATCAGTCCTTTCTCATGTGGGCAGCTGACAGCACAGTAGCTGACTTCACTCAGAGCTGGTGTGAGACGGAGAGGGCAGTCAGGATGGAAGCTAAGGACTTCCCTAGTGGCCCAGTGGTTCAGAATCTGCCTGCCAATGCAGGCGTCACAGGCTCGATCCCTGGTCCAAGAAGATTGCACATACCGTGGAGCATCTAAGCCCGTGCACCACAGCTACTGAAGCCCATGCCTTAGAGCCTGTCTGTACGACTCAGCACGAGAAGCTGCTGCAGTGAGAAGCACATGTGCAGTAAGGAAGACCCAGCACAGCCAAAAGTAAATAAATGAAATATTTTTAAAAAGATGGAAGCCACGGTGTGTTTGTAACTTAACCTTGGAAGCGAGGTCCACTGCTTTTGCCATATGCTCTTTGTTAGAAGCAAGTTCCTAGGTCCAACCCACATTCTAAGGGAGAAGGGAGGTGATTATATGAGGCTGTGGATCCTTGGGAGGAGGCACGGTTCTTGAGGAGCCATCTTAGAGGCTGTCCACCAAGATCCACCACAGATACATACCAAATTGACAGTTTTATAAAAAATTTTTATTGACTAAAATAGTTATCATGCTTTGCAGTTTTCAGCATATCTTCACCTACAGTATCTCTTTTATACTTCATCTTTTAGGGCAGTGGATATCATCATTCATAAGATCACTTAAACAGTCACAAAGAGTTTTACAACTTTACCCCAAAAACTCAAATGAAGTAAGGGGTAGAGCTGACAAGTGAACTTGTCTTCTGAATCCAGATCCCATGTCTTCCTACTATATTAAAATATCTATTATGTTAAGTGCTTTTCTTAAATATCCAAGACTGGGGGACAGTCCATGTAAGTGCTGGCTTTTTTCTTTTCTTTTTTAGGCCTTGACTTTCTACCACAATTGAACTCAGTGTTTCCTCCAAGAAAAAATCCAGTAGTTTCAAGCACTTCAGTATTGCATTCTAGTCCTCTTAATGTCTTTATGGGGTCTCCTGGGAAAGAAGAAAATGAAAATCATGATCTGACAGCTGAATCTAAGAAAATGTATCTGGGAAAACAGGAATCTAAAGACTCCTTCAAGCAGGTATCTGCCTGTAAATGATATTGAACTCACTGCGTGTGTTTATTGCTAGCAAGTATAATGCATCTCATCACTAGAAAGCAGGCAGCTGCCACTGGATATGTCCTAATTATTGACAGTGCCGTGCACTTACTAGGTGGAAAATATTCTTAAATCTTGATGTCACATGTTAAAAACTGAAGAACACTTTTGAAATCTGTCTTTGGATATGTTGGAGGTAACAGCAGGTATAATCTTACATTGTTTTTTCCCTAAGACAAGATACTTGATTTAACTGTCTATAAGAATATTTTATCCCTGAATTCTTTTAGAATGTATTTTCATTGCAGCACAAAGCACCGAGTTGGTGGTTCTTTACCCTAAGTCTTAGAGCAAATTGACGGTGCTGAGAATGTGATTCATCATCATTACCTTCTGCTGTAATCTAATAGAGTCTGTTGTTTAGTATGTCTATTTCATATTTATCTTTTAGAATGGTATTGAAAAGATATTTAAGAAATATGAAAATTTTTTGACTTATTTTTCAAATATTCCTGACTAGTTACCACATGACAGTTTGGGGATTTATTTTTTATTTATTTTTTGGCCTGTGATTGCCATCTTAAATGATATTCAACAGCAGATTCTTAGTAAATAAGTTTTTCCTTGTCATCATCAAAATCATCAAAATTGTTTTTGATTAGTAAAGTTAATTATTTTGCCATAGCCCTAGCAACAATTTCTTTTCTCCTTCAAGATTCCTTTCTAGTCTTCCTTTTTCTGACTCTATTTACTGGGGAAAAATAGAGAAAAGTAGATACAAATTATATGGGTAATATGGATAAAACCAGAATTTTTTTAACTTTTTATTTTGTATTTATAGCCAATTAACAAACAATGTTGTGATAGTTTTAGGTGAACAGCAAAGGGATTCAGCTATACATATATGTGTATCCATTCTTCCCCAAACTCCCCTCCCATCCAGGCTGCCACATAACATTGAACAGAGTTCCATGTGCTTTACAGTAGGTCCTTTGGATAAAACCAGAATTTATATATTAATTATTTATTTTAAATGTGAAGTTTGCAAAGTTGCTCTCCGGTGCTGAAACTGGAAATCTAAATGCCTCTCCATCATCTAACCAAACAAGAAGCCCTGAGAAATTTGAAAAGCCAGAGAAAGAAATTGAAGCCCAGTTAATAAGTGAACCTCCAGGCAATGGATCCTCAACTCCAAGTAAGTACATAAAACTTCTGATGTTTGAGTGTTAAGTTGAAAACTCCCATTATTTAACTTGTAAAGGATAAGTTGACAGTGATCACAGATGAAAAAGTTAAAGGAATTTAAAATTTGTGTCACTTCTCTAGTGCATGACTCTCTTACTAGAAGACAATAAAATGAAAGGTTAAATTCAACCAGATTAATTTGGTACTCTTTGGGTATGAATTTCATTTTCAATCCAATATGTAAGTGTCTTGTCTACTGTGGTACAGATAGGAATATAATATAGGGTCATTAACTACCTGAAAATGTCTTTTTCTTTTTCCATATTAAAGTTCTGTCTATATAGAGTTCATGGCAGAGACCCTAAAAACTTGGTCACATTTAAAGCAATATTAGGTTTAGCGATGAGGAGCTGTTTTATATAAATACCTGTATTTTGAGGTTTCTGTGGATATATTGCATTAGCTTAAACTCTAGGGCTTTGCCTGAGAACTACTTTACTCCTGTGTCCCTTCTGTTTGTTTCTAATAGTCTTGGTTTATCCAGCAGCTTGTCACATTCATTTTTTGTAAGAGAAAATGGTTTGGAGATCCTTTAAGACTTAATTCCTCTGTCAGATGTTATTACATTAGACAGTTGGCAATTCATATATATATATATATATATATATATATATATATGAATGACTATTAGAAATAATGTCATAGAAAGTTTCTAAGACTTGTATTCCAGACAGTGAATTTTTCTAAATGTCATAGGAGCACTGTTTTTTTCTGGGGGGGGGACGGGGGACGGGGTTTGCCAGTTTTTCAGGCTTTCTCATGCTAAATCATATGTAGAAGTATTTGATGTCTCTTAGTCCAAGTTGACTATTAATATTTTCTCAAATTTTTGTTTCAGATCCAAAGATAGCATCCTCTGTCACTGCTGGAGTTGCTAGTTCACTATCAGAAAAAATCGTTGATACCATTGGAAATAGTCGGCCAAATGCACCGTTGTCATCTGTTCAGATCCGTTTTATTCAGAACATGATACAGGAAACCCTGGATGACTTTAGGTAATTGGGAAATTACTCTTTCTATCTAGACTTTGACTAGCTTTTTTTGTTAGGTGTAAAACCGTAACTATGAGTAATGGTGGTGGTTACTACTTTTGCCTAGGTTCTGGGATCTGTAGAAATGTAGAAGACATGATGAGCTTTGTGAATCTTTAAGTGCCGAATTTAGTTTATATCAGCTAGGAAAAGGCACATTTCCCTGGGGCAGTTATTAGAGGACTTGACAGTGTAGTGGCTGGCTGCCATTGTGAATTTTTTTATCATTAAAATGTGGACAGATTCTGATAGGCTCAAACAGGAGTCCTACAATATTTGTAGACCACCTGTTAACTATGCTATGTGCAGTAATGTGGTAGAGAAAGATATTTTTAAAGGAATTCTGAATATTTTCAAATAGAATGTGTCAGAATATACCTGGTCGCTCAGATGGTAAAGAATCTGACACCAACACAGGAGACCCAGGCTCGATCCCTGGATCAGGAAGATCCCCTGGAGAAGGGAACGGCTGCCCACTCCAGTACTCTTGCCTAGAGAATTTCATGGACAGAGGAGCCTGGTGGGCTACAGTGGATGGGATTGCAGAGAGTTGGACACAACTGAGCAACTCACACACAGAGAGAAAATTATTAACACATTATTTTAAGAAGTTCTTGCCTGGATCTGCCCTTGTCTTCTCATTCTGAATTTTGAAGATTGTAAGAATGTTCTAGAGTGTTGGTTCCTTTTACGTGTCTTCTCAATAAATTTTGAAAACTCTTCAATTATCAGAATCTTTTTATGTTTTTTTTTTCCCCTTTCTGACCCTTACTTACTTAGTACTCTTGCTCAGATTTGGAATATCATGAGCAAGAATGTTGGAGAAGATGTGCAGTTTTTGTTGTTACATGTTTCTTTTTAATGTTAAAAATGTTTTGAAAAAAATTTAAATGTTAACTATATTTTTAAAGAAAAATAATCATTTTGACTTTTAAAATTAATTAATTTAAATTGGAGGATAATTACTTTACAGTATCATGGTGGTTTTTGCCATACATCAACATGAATCCCAGAGGAGGAAATGGCAACCCACTCCAGTACTCTTGCCTAGAGAATTCTGTGGACAGAGGAGCTTGGTGGGCTGCTGTCCATGGGGTCATACAGAGTCGGACACGACTGAAGCGACTTAGCATGCATGTATGCATTGGAGAAGGAAATGGCAACCCACTCCAGTATTCTTGCCTGGAGAATCCCAGGGACGGGGGTGCTTGGTGGGCTGACATCTATGGGGTTGCACAGTTGGACATGTAGCAGCAGCAGCAGCAACATGAATCAGCCACGGGTGCACATGTGTCCCCCCCATCCTGAAACTCCCTCCCACCTCCCTCCCTACCTACATCCCTCTGGGTTGTCCCAGATCACTGGCTTTGAGTACCCTGCTTCATGCATCAAACTTGCACTGGTCATCTATTTTACATGTGCTAATATACATGTTTCAATGCTATTCTCTCAAACCATCCCATCCTCGCCTTCTCCCACAGAGTCCCAAAGTCTGTTCTTTACATCTGTGTCTCTTGCCGTCTTGCATATAGGGTCGTTGTTACCGTCTTTCTAAATTCCATATATATGTGTTACAGACTGTATTGTTGTTTCTCTTTCTACTTACTTCACTCTGTATAATAGGCTCCAGTTTCATCCACCTCATCAGAACGGACTTAAATGTGTTCCTTTTTATAGCTGAGTAATATTCCATTGTGTATATGTACCACAGCTTCCTATCCATTCGTCTGCTAATGGACATCTAGGTTGCTTCCATGTCCTAGCTATTGTAAGCAGTGCTGCGATGAACAGTGGGGTACACGTGTCTCTTTCATTTCTGGTTTCCTCAGTGTGTATGCCCAGCAGTGGGATGCTAGGTCGTATGGCAGTTCTGTTTCCAGTTTTTTTAAGGAAATCTCCACACTGTTCTCCATAGTGTGTGTACTAATTTGCATTCCCACCAACAGTGTAAGAGGGTTCCTTTTTCTCCACACCCTCTCCAGTATTTATTGTTTGTAGACTTTGATAGTGGCCATTCTGACCAGCATGAGGTGATACCTCATTGTAGTTTTGATTTGCATTTCTCTGATAATGAGTGATATTGAGCATCTTTTCATGTGTTTATTAGCCATCTGTATGTCTTCTTTGGATAAATGTCTGTTTAATTCTTTTGCCCACTTTTTGATTGCATTGTTCATTTTTCTGGTATCATTTTGACATTTATAATGTGCCTCGTGTGTATTGGTACTGAGGATACAAAAACAGGTGATCTGCCCACAAAGACTTTATAGTTTAATTGAGATAGGTATAGTGTGTCCTGCTATGATGTGTGTTTCTTTGATGTGAAGTAACTCATTTGTAAATAGGGCAGTGATGACAGTATGATGAGGAAGTTTAGTTGGTTCATGTAACAGCTGCCAAAACAAAGAACATGAACACAGGTGAAGGCTGCAAGCCACCGATTTATGTCCGTCTCTTTCTCTTCCCTTCCTCTTAATTTGGTTAGGCTGTGTGCTGTGTGTTAGGAAGTGCTTATTTTGTGATTTTTTTCCCCATCTTTGGGCATTTTATTTTTTACTTCATGCTTGAGAGCCCCAGTCCTTCCTCTTATCTTCCTTCCCCTTTTATCAAGTAACCCTCACTTTTTTTTAGGGTAAAATCTTTGATTATTCAATATTTAAGCTGTGCTAGTATTTTTATTAGGATTTAATTGTTAGCGCTCTGGTTGCAAAGTTTATATAGATTTTGAGTGATCTTTCAGAGTCCTTTTCCTTTCAATTCTGTTTTTTTTTTTCTTTCTCAGTGTTATGGTAAGAATACTTACTATGAGGTCTGCTCTCTTGGAATTTCAAATGTATAGTGTAATGACATTGCTAACTGGACACACGTGTTGAACAGCAGGCCTCTAGAACTCACTCATTTTGTGTAACTGAAATTTTCTGTTCATCAGTTAACATCTCCCTGTTTCCCCTTCTCCCCAGCCCCAACACCCACAGTCCTGTTCCTTGCTTGCATGGGTTTGCTTAGCTATCTGGTAACTATTTTATTAGACTTCTCATGCACATGGACTATGCAGTCTTTGTGTCTCTGTGTCTGACTTATCTCACTTAGCATCGTGTCCTCCAGGTTCATCTGTGTTGCCCCATGTCACAACTTCTTCTTTCTGTTTTAAGGCTGAATAATATTCCGTTTATGCACATGCCACATTTTAAAAAATCTGGTCCTATTATTTTCCATACGTAGTTTTTAAAAATATGAGCTATTTCAGGAATGTGTGGAGAAAAAAATAGCAGAATTTTCTGGATCCAGCTAATATCTGGATAAGATAATGTGGAACAAAGCAGTGTTGAAAACACATAAAGGGAGCAGTTACACTGGGGCAAATTTAGAAAGAAATCACTGTCCTGCCTTCAGCTTTCAGCTTGCGTTGTGTGCCTGTACCTAGGGAGCGAGGGCGGCTAGGGGCCCCTGTCCACTCTTCTTCCCCTCCATCACCCATAGGCAGCCTCTGCTTAGAAACCCGGTGAGGGCCTGGAATGACTCAGAGGATTTCGGTAAATTCAGCTGCTCTTACTTCAGCCTTTAGTAGGTCTTGCCAGCCAGACCTTAGTTAGAACAAGGTGCAGATGGGGCTCTCTGCTAGCTGCTCACCCTCAGTGTGGAGGCTGCCTTTTCCGTGAGGGCCTTCGTGCTTCAGGGGGGTCACTCAGTCCCCCTCTGCACCTGTGCCCCGGGGGCGCGTCCTTTCAGCCCTCCTGCTTTGCCCCTAATGCCTACAGAGCATTCAGTGAAGGCCTGTGCTGAAACGTTGTTGAGTGAATGGAGACTTTATATTTGGCTGGGATTCCTTTTGATTCTAAACTTGAGGCAGTCTTCACTTGGCCTTTAAAAATCTAGAGAAGTTTCATCTAGTTCTCCTTACCCTATCAGTGGCAGCTTTCTTACCTCACCGCTATTGTCAAGGATGAAAACAGTTTTGAGTCTCTCTTCTTCTGGAGGGACTCACCATTTTCTGGATTTAAATTCACTTAGATTTCTTTGTACTATCAAAGTTGAATTTATTTTTGAATGTATGATTTTATAGGTTATCTGGCTTGTGCTCATTATTAGAGTTGGAGAGCTTGCATCCTAGGCAGAAGTCTGCAGATTTACTTCTGTTGTCTTTCAAGATTGATGTTTGCTCTGGCAAGCAAGTCACTTCCTGGATTTTCAGTTTGTTTCTGGTTTTTAATCTTGGTGGGTCCTGAACTTTAACCTCCAAGTCTGAAGCATCACAAGGCCTCCCAAATCCTTTTCTCCTCTTTAGTGGCCAGTTTATGTTTGGTTTCCTGCCATCTAACCTCAGTACAGGCACAGCTTAGGAGTCGAAGAAGTCTTGAGGGGAAGTTGCACAGTTTCAGGTTTACTTCCTACTGGTACCCCCTTCCCAGAAACCTTGCAGCTCTGACTGCCTTGGGAGCTCTGAATTCTAATACTCCCCAACCCAGTGAGACTGTCTCAGACTCTGGGCCACTGCTTTCCTCCCAGTCTCCATACTGTGGAATCAGCTCACCCCCCAGAGGTGAGCAGACATAGTTGTGGAGCTTACCTAGTAGATCCCCTTGTTTACAATAGCGTAGAGTCGACACGACTGAAGTGACTTAGCAGCAGCAGCAGCAGCGCTACCAGTCCTGGCTGCCTTAGTGGTTCTATGATGCCTTCACTTCTTGTTTTTGTTTCTTTGTGTTTTTAATACAGCATTTGTCATAGCTAAAAACAGAAGAGAAATTTTTTTAAAAGTACTTGTAACTGTTGCAATAGAAAGAATAAGATACTTGGGAATAAATCTAAGGATGGTAAAAATCTGTGTAGAAGAACATTTACAAATGTGTTAGAAAGCACTAACAAACATGGGAAGATGTTGTGAGCTGTCAGTTCTTTTAAATTGGTCTACAAGGTTGAACGCAATTCCAGTCAAGTCCCAACTGGGTTTTTTGGAAGAAGATGATGAGATAATTCCAAAATGTATATGAAAAAAGGAAGATCTGAGAATAACCAAGGCACCAGAGAAGAATAAGGTTGAAGGGGACTAGTTTGTCAGATAGATAAGCTATAATTAAAATAGTGTAGCATTAGCACAGAGTGGACAGATTTTGCAGAGGAATCAAATGTATCCCAAAGAAGCCTATGTATATGTGGAAATGTGATATATCACAGAGGAAATGTATAGATCCCTGTTCCATGCTATTGAAAAAATCAGTTCCATACAGAGTAAAAGTTTAAATGGAAATGGAAAAAGTTAAGGCATTGTAGGAGAATTTATATATGACTTCGGATTTAGAAAGTTACTTAAATATAAGAGGGTACACTACCTATAAAAATAGATTGGTAAATTTACATTAATAGTAGGTTAGTAAATTTGAGAATGTCAGTAGGAAGTGTTCATCCAGGACACCATTAATAAAATGAAAAGACAAAAGATATCTGCAGTACTCATATAGCTAATAGAGGATCAGATTATGTAAAGAACTGTTATGAATAATTTCTTTTTAAAAGACATTCAATAGAACAACAGTTTAAAGACATAGACAAGCATTTCACTGAAGAATAGTATATGAACATAGGGAAAGTTTCTCAACCCTGCAAATTAACCAGAGAACTGAAAATGCAATTGGTTACCATTTCATACACAGTAGATGGAAACACAGCTGTAAAGTCTGGCAACACCAAGTCTTGGTGTGGATGTAGAGCTAGAGGAACTCTTTTTATTCTGATGATGAGCATGTCCATTAATACTACCACTTTGGAAGATAATTTGTATTATTTTGTAAGTCTGAACAGTGTATCTTTTCATCATACCTGTGACTCAGCATATCTTGGATATATTATCTACAGAAATTGGCACATGTGGGTTGGAAGACATACATTATTGTTTATAACAACATTTTAATAATAAACACTTAAAAACAGCTCAATTTGACAGGAGAATGTACACTAGTACAGATCAATGAATTATAAATAGAATATGACCTTGAAAACATGATACTGGATTATTTTTAACTGTACACTACTCAGGACTACTACTGTACTACTTTGCTCAAAAGCAAGCATAACAAAAATACATTGACTACAGAGTCTATGTTATGCAAAAATATATAAATACATATATATATTTTAAAAAACATTTCTTTGCTCAAAGAAATTCCAGGGAGTAGTGACTTCTCTCAGGAGTTAAGTGAGCAGCACCACAGGAAGCGTCTGTGATTTTTGTTATATTCTAGCCCATAATTTCTGTGGCAGTGACACGCAGATATTCCTTTTATTATTATATTTCATAACTTTATGTCTTCTCTTTCTTTTTGGCCATGCCATGTAGGTTGTGGGATCTTAGTTCCCCAACCAGGGATTGAACCCTAGCCATGGAAGTGAAAGCCCAGAGCCCTAACCACTGGGCCACCTGGGAATTCCCACTCTTATGGTTTTGCAGGCATGACTTAATTGCATTTTCTTGAGTAAACCTCTGTTATAATTAGGATCTTTGCATTCTGCTGGAAGTTTTTTTTTTTAATAACTTAAATGTTGATAATAGTTAAAACATTGTAACCTAGAGCATTATCTGTATTTCACTGTAATATAAACCTGTGTCTTTACTTAATGATGATTTCTGTCTTAAGGAATGTAGTGTAATGAGAATTCCGGAGGTAGACAGCTGGGTTTATATCCTAGCTGTAACATGTACTAGTTGTGTGACTTTGGTTGAGTTATAACTTCTCTGTGACTCAGTTACATGGGTAAAATAGAGGTGGTAATTCTACCTCGTTGTGAAGAGTAAATGAGTTCTTACATCTGAAGTACGAGACACAGAGACTAGCACACAGTAAATAAATACTAGGTGCAGTGGTGTTTTTACTATTATTATAATAACTGTTAACAGTAATGTGAAATAATAAGAGTATAGTCATTTTCTTGAGTGAGTCTAGAATTGGTAAAACTGTTCTAATAAATATTATATGTTCTCCCCTAGAGAAGCATGCCATAGGGACATTGTGAATTTGCAAGTGGAGATGATTAAACAGTTTCATATGCAATTGGTATGTATTGACATGTTTTATTGTAAGTGAGCATAGCTGTGGATCTAAAAAGTTCATGAAAGGGTGATGTATTCTTACTTAGTTATATCTAATTGCTAAGAAAATAAAGAGTGTTTCAGAAATTTAGTAAATAAAATAGATTTTAACTAGTCACCCTTCTTTATAACCTGTGATAGTTAAGGCTACTTTTTCACAGCTATTTTTTTTTTTATGGGCAGTAAGTAAGCAAAAACCTTTCCAAATGTGCAAATGTAAGCTTTCCAAATATGTAAATTTTACCAGTGCTCTTTCATTTATATTAGCAAAGTAGTAAGGGTGGTTAAATTGAGAAAAAAATTACTCAGTTAATCGAATATGAGAAAAATGATAGCTAAAAATGTGTAAAACAATGTCAAATAAATGTGAAATGCCAGTAATTTGAAAAAAAATTTTTTTTCCCCCTTTTCTAGAATGAAATGCATTCTTTGTTGGAAAGATACTCAGTGAATGAAGGTTTAGTGGCGGAAATTGAAAGACTACGAGAAGAAAACAAAAGACTGCGGGCACACTTTTGAAATTTCAGTGAATACTTTGATGTTTTGTAATTTGGGGAAGGTTCTGACAACACAGAACTACATGAAATCAGTATTGTTTTCATAACCTCTGGGAGAAAAAATTTTTTTCAGTAAAAGAGTGATGGAATTTTATACCAATCACTATTTCATCTTTTCTGTCAAATATATTTATATTTTTGTATTAAAAACTGTTCACTATGTCATCTGCCTAAGAGGAAAGCCAACAGAATCTTTATTTTATGGAAGCTTTAGCTATACACTAAGTGCCCTTTTTCATGAAAAAATTGTGCAAAAAAATAGGTTATGAATGTTTTTTAATCATCCTTTCTAAACATAATATTTTTGGTTGACAGTTGCCTTCCAAATTTTTTTGGATGTTTGATGATTAAAGAGTTTACTATACCTTCTATTTTTATGGAGACAGTAAGTTTAATTGGTGTTTTGTGTTTCTAAGCAATTGACTAATAAAACACAAAGTTGGTTAGTAATTATTTTGTTAACTTGGTTAAGTCAAGTATAACTATTATTTATTACTTGTACATTGGATAAGAAAATTTTCAGATTTTGAATTGCACAGATCACATTATATCTATTGCATTACTCTTTCATACTTCTAACTTATCACTACTCTGATTGATATTTTGTAGTTTTACCTATGAAAACTTTTAAGGGTTTATAAGACTCAAGCAGAACTGCGTATCTGCTGATTATCTCATTAATTAACAGCATAAAATGTATACTATAATGTTTTAGTCACTATAATTCAGCTTACTAATCAGTGAAAATTTCATATTTTACTAAGTATTAAGTATTAGTCCATTTTTTCTTCTCCCAAATGAGCTGTGGTTTATTTTGTTCTGTGGCTTATATCATTAACTTTCTTTAATCCTTTTCTGTGCTGTATGTAATATTTTTATATTATTGACCCACTATAAAATAAATAAAAAATTTTTTTAAAAAACAGGAAGGTTAATTGTCAAAAGAATTTACACCTCTTTGACAATAAGGGAATGTTGCATCCTGTGATATACATTTTTAGTGGTATAAGATTAAGAGGGCAGCTGGCTTATTTACCTCTTGTAGTCTCTTGTCCCAAAGATTTAAACTATACCTATATATATACCTGTATATAGAACTCAATTTTAACTTTTGAGATGAAAGTATTTACTAAAATAAAAAAGAAGTCTAGCTGGATTACTAGCTTTTTCCTTCTAGGTGATGAAAGATTTTAAGGATATATTCAGTAAGTGTAAAATACTAATAACTAACTTCAAGAAATGAACGACTCTGTCTTAGTGGAGTACATTTGTATTAAAGCATAAGGGAGCTTCCGCGGTGGCAGTGGTGAGGAGCCCACCCCCCAGCTCAGGCGACAGGAGGCCCCGGTTCAGCCCATGAGCAGGGAGATGCCTGGAGGAGGGCAGGGCCGCGCACTGCAGTACTCTTGCCTGCAGAATCCCTGGGGCGGAGGAGCCCGGCAGACGGCAGTCCATAGGGGCGCAGGGAGCCGGAGACACTGCAGTGGCCCAGCACACACAGCCTAAGGGGCGCTAAGACAACCTCTCTTTCCCGACAGGTAATGAAAGCACTGTGGCTTGTAGCAAGTTTTACCGCATATCATTGTCAGACAGATCTAGAAGACATGAAAGTGTGTTTTGCATTATCCGTTAATATTTTCCTATTGCCTTTTTCTATAAATGCACATGATGTATATTAAAAGAAGTTAGATAAATAAAATACTTTTGGTAACCTTATGCATATAGATGAAACATTTTTTGTCATGGAATTTAAAAGCTAAGTAAGTAAAAAAAGTTAAATTTTAAATGGTAAAAATGGGAAATCAGAAATTGAATTTTAGCCTCTAGCCAAAATAGAATAATAGAGATTAGATTTACACAATGCAGCTAATTTTAAAAAGACACAAAATACTTGAAATAGTTTTCAAATACTGAATTTTTAAAAATAAACTCAACTTGGAATTCTTTACCTAGAGAAAATATCTTTAAAAATGAAAAGTAAAACTTCAGACCTAGAAAGGTTGAAAGAATTTATCACAAGCTAACTTTTACCCTAGAAGAAACATTAAAAGTACCAGATAGAAATCTGCTTCTATGCAAAGGAATGAAGAGCAACAAAAATGGTAAATATGTGAACAAATATAAGGCCTTTTCCCCCCCTTATTTTAAATTATCTTTAAAGGATAGCAGACTATTTAAAGCAAAAATAATAACAATGTATTATGTGGTTAACATATACAATGTTAATTATGTAAAGTGAGGTGTTTGACAAGAGTATCTATCTTCAAGGGTGGGAGGAGGGAAATGAAAGTATACTACTCTAAGGTTCTTTAACTGTGAAGCAGAGTACTACCTGAAAGTAGGATGCTACAAGCTGAAAATGTGTACTGTAAACTCCAGAGTAACCACAAAAGAAAAACAGTTCTAGTTAGTAAATCAACAAAGATGATAAAATGTAGCCATTAAAAAAATCCAAAGGAAGCAAAGAAAAGAACAAGGGGCAAAGAATAAATGGGACAATAGAAAATAAACAGTAAAATGGGAGATTTAAGAGCAATATCAATAATTACATTAAGTATAAATTATCAAATACCCTTATGAAATTGAATTTTTTATCCATCTGTTTACTAAATCAATGAAATCCACTTTAAATATGAAGATACAAATAGTTTAAATAAAAAAAGTTGAAGTAAAGAGTTAGTACATATACTGAACTGAATGGAAATGAAAGCAAATTATCATATTTTGTGGGAATCAGCTAAAGCGGTACTTACAGGGAAATTTATATCATTAAATACCTGTATTAGAAAAGGAAAAGGCTCAATAGCTTCAGCTTCCACCTTAAGTTAGGAAAACAGCAAGTAAAAACCACAAAGAAGCAAATGATAAAAGATTAGAGAATACAATGCAAAACAAAAGTCAACTGAGGAAGTCAGTGAAAGTAAAACCTACTGCTTTGAGATCAAACCTTTAGCTAACCAGTTGAGAAACAAAAACCCCTAAATTACTGGTATCAGGAATGAAAGAAGTGACATCACTATGGAGATGTGCTGCTGCTGCTGCTTAAGTCGCGTCGTGTCCGACTGTGCGACCCCATAGATGGCAGCCCACCAGGCTCCTCCGTCCCCGGGATTCTCCAGGCAAGAACACTGGAATGGGTTGCCATTTCCTTCTCCATTGCGTGAAAGTGAAAAGTCAAAGTGAAGTCGCTCAGTTGTGTCCGACTCTTTGTGACCCATGGACTGCAGCCCACCAGGCTCCTCTCTCAATGGGATTTTCCAAGCAAGAGTACTGGAGTGGGGTGCCATTGACTTCTCCAGAGATGTGCTACTCAGGTATAAATTTGATAAAAGTTATGTATGACCTATACTCCGAATTCTACAAAATATTACTGAGAGAATGTAAACCTAAGTAAATGATATGCCAAGTTCATAGACTGAAAGGCTCAACATTGTTAAATATCAGTTTTTCCCATATTGATTTTCCAATTCAATGTAATAATAAAAATTAGCAGAAACTATTTTTCTCTTCAGCTATGTCTAATTTAGCATTTACCTAATCTGGTAAGTATTTAATATCATCTATTATATTTTTCATCCTAGAATTTCCATTTTGTTATTTTTTAGTTTCTAATTCTCAGTGAAATCTCCCTTAAGTATATTGATTTTAGTTTTTTTTAATTTAAGATAAATGAATTTTTTTTGGTAACCTATACTGAAGCAAAACTAGAAAAAAGGTGTGAAGTACATAGCATGTGTGTATGTTTATCACTTATAATTAATTTGAATTTATCTTGAGAAAAGAACATTAAACAAATCAATTAGTTTAAATCACCACATTAAGGATCATCTCAATAGATACAGAAAGGTGTCTGATAAAAGTTATTAATGATTCATGGTAATCTTGTAAACTGAATAGAAGAAATTTTCTTTATCCTGAGAAAATATATCAGAAACCTACTGCAAATGTTTTGTTTTCTTTTTTAAATGAGATATAGTTAATTTTCAATAGTATGTGTTTCAGGTGTGCAACATAGTGATTCATAATTTTCAAAGATTATACTTCATTTACAGTTATAAAATATTAGTTATATTCCCTGTGCTATACAGTGTTTCCTTGTAGCTTGTTTATTTCTTAGTTCAGATCAGTCAATCAGTCATGTTCAACTCTTTGCGACTCCGTAGACTGCAGCACGCCAGGCTTCCCTGTTCATCACCAACTCCCAAAACTTGCTCAAACTCTTGTCCATCAAGTCAGTGATGCCGTCCAACCATCTCATCCTCTGTTGTCCCCTTCTGCCTTCAATCTTTCCCAGCATCAGGGTCTTTTCCAATGAGTCAGTTCTGTGCATCATGTGGCCAATGTATTGGAGTTTCAGCTTCAGCATCAGTCCTTCCAATGAATATTCAGGACTCATTTCCTTTAGGATTGACTGGTTTGATCTTGCAGTCCAAGAGATTTTCAAAGAGTCTTCTCCAACACCACAGTTCAAAAGCATCAATTCTTTGGTGCTCAGCTTTCTTTATAGTCCAACTCACATCCATACATGACTACTGGAAAAACCATAGCTTTAGCTAGACGGACCTTTGTCGGAAAAGTAACATCTTTGTTTTTTAATATGCTGTCTAGGTTGGTCATAACTTTTCTTCCAAGGAGTAAGTGTCTTTTAATTTCATGGCTGCAGTCACTATCTGCAGTGTTTTTGGAGCCAGGAAAATAAAGTCTGTCACTGTTTCCATTGTTTCCCCATCTATTTGCCATGAAGTGATGGGACTGGATGTCATGATCATAGTTTTTTGAAGGTTGAGTTTTAAGCCAGCTTTTACACTCTCCTCTTTGACTTTCATCAAGAGGCTCTTTAGTTCTTCACTTTCTCCCATAGGGTGGTGTCATCTGCTTATCTGAGGTTATTGATATTTCTCCCGGGAATCTTGATTCCAGCTTGTGCTTCATCCAGCCCAGCATTTCTCATGATGTACTCTC